AATTAACAAAACAAACGTTTTCAACAAAAATGACAAAATTTGCAAAGCAAATGTTTGAAAACAAAATTAACAAAGAAAATGTAAATTCACAAAATTTACGCAGGAAATGTTTTCAAAACTTACAAAGCAAATGTTTGCAACAAAAAATGCAAAGCAAAATAAAATGAAAAAATTTACAAAGTAAATGTTTTCAACAAAAATTACAAAACTTACAAGCAAAGGTTTTCAACAAAAATAACAAAATTAACGATGCAAATGTTTCCAATGAAATTGACAAAATTTATTAAGATTTTCAACAAAATTTACACAGCAAAAGGTTTTCAACAAATCTGTATAGTCTACGAAGCAAATGTTTTCAACAAAGCAAATGTTTTCAAGAAAAATTACAAAATTTACAAAGCGAACATTTCAACAAAAATAACAAAGTTAACAAAGCAAATGTTTTCAAAAAAATTAAATGGCTTACAAAGTAAATGTTTTCAACAGAAAACTGGAAACGATATCATTGTAATAAGGACAACCTTTATAAAGACATCATTAATTTGAAATACAAGTTTCGTATCATTAAACTAATTTCAGTATTCGTTCATCCATTTATTTTGTGTACTGTCGTATTTTTTTCCTTATGAAACAAACTACACAACATCCAGAATCGCATTCCAACGTTCATCTTTGCTACCAAATTGCTGAAAAGAAACGTTGCAAAATCAGTTTTCGTGCATTCTGTCGCTTATTTCACCTAATTTTCCTTATCGATGTTTTTTAAATAGATATAATAAATTTTTAAATATATATTGATGATGATGAAAATATGGTTTTAAGTGTATGCTATATTTATTTTAATATATTCAACAGCATGGTTTTGGTTATAAGTTGTTACTAATGTTGTCGACTGAGAACAGAGTAGTTCGCATATTATATCTAAACCTATGGTTATGCGGTTTTAATCAGAAAATGAATATTAAAAACCTTGCTCAGCAAATGGAAGTAAGAATCATAATTTTCTCGGGTTTTACTGTCCTACGTTTTGGTCGGACGATTTGAAATTAGGAAATTTCACCTTTAGTTGGAATTTCCATTCTCTCTCCAATGAAGATTTCGAATAAAGCGAATACAAGTACGACAAAATTCCAAGTTGTAATCTTTTCAAATCCTACCATTAGATAATCACTGACTCGTCTGTCAAATCAATGATGCTATTTGATTCATTTAAAATTTCATTAACATATTGATTGATAAGAAAAAATCAGTTATTATGTAATCATGTGTGATTTTTATTATCATTATTATTATTATTATCATTATTTATCGTTTCCTTTGATTTCTGTTCTATATGCATTCTCTACCGGGTCCCAACTAGAGATCTAAGGTCAGAAATAACATTTCCACTGTTGTTTTTTGTTTTGTTTTTTTGTTTTTTTTGGTTTTTGTTGTTTTTTTTTCAATCGGAATCACCTCAGGCAAGGCAGTAATGCCACTAAAACACAAGGGGTTACAGGGTGCGGAAGAATTAGGAACAGAAACAATAATGATGAGTAAAAAGAGAAGAGAGTAAACAGGAGGACAGTACATAGCGATTGACATTGCATTTAAATTTTACAGATTAAAGTTGACTGGAAAGCATGGAGCCGAGAAGTGGGAGAGAAGAAACTGTTAGCATAGAAATTACATCTACATCTAGTCAGCTCAACCGTAAATTGATGAGATCTCGACGCCAGTCGAATACTGCTCTTAAATTCAAAAATTCAAGGTACCATAACGAAGAGCTCATTCGAACATTTACTATGAAAGTATTTACAGAAAAGACATAGGCAACTTTATGGCGGTGGGAAAGAGACTGAAGCTAAGCCGCCAGATCAGGACCAATAATATTGCAGATTCTTCTTTTGATCTTATCAAGGAGCTCCAACCACAACTGTATCAGCTTATTTGGCATGGGCAGGGTGTTGACCATAAAGGACTTATCATCGCATTTGGTCCATTTTTTAAGTTCTTCGTCGTTGCAGTAGGTGGATTATGGCTTACTTTCACTTCTTCATCCACTTGAAATACACTTTTGAATTTGTTAAGTTTCTTATTTCTTTCATGTTCTTTCACACAAATCATAGTTTTCTGTTGTTTCTAGGTATCTTTGAAGACCGATTGCTGTCGTTTTGTAAGACAATTCTAGTTGAACTAATTCTGTCCCCTTCGGATCTGGGCACATACAGACAATTACCATTGGTTTTAGATTAATGCATACAGGGGCAAGTGAGAAGCTTTCCCGTTTTGACATACATTCGCTTGTGGTCCAGTTAAAAAATTTTGAAAACCAAAAGGTACGGCTAAAAGAACTAACAGTATTGTTATTGTCGTCGTCAACGACAATTAAGTTTTGACTTCATCTCATTCTTATTTTTTATAACAGTGCTCAGATCGTTATTCTATGGTCGTTATTAAACAGCACTGTTCAGAAATTAAAAAAATAAATAAGCCTCCGATTATTAACGACTGTAGAATAAGTTATGATAAAAACAGCAGAAATGAAATGAAAGAAATATTAGTCAATACTTCGTATCATTTTGCTTAGTTTAAAATGTTTTTCAGCGTTTTGTCTGAGATAGAAGAATCGATTTTTATTTAAGTTATATTGTCTTATTAACACATTTAGCAGATCATATTTCTGTAGTCGAAAAAAAAAAAATTATTTATAAATTACTCATATATGCTCTGCTTCTGGTAATTTTATTGTTTCACGAAAAAGGATTTTAAAAACTGAATTATCAAGTTTATAGATTTTATGTAAAAGATTTAATTTTTTGAATTCTAATTTACTTTGGGTTTTTTTTACGTTCAAAAAGGAATAAAAACTATTAAAACCTTTTCCTTACCTATACACGACATAGATATATAGTGCCTATTAAAAATGCATGACAAGTGCATAACAATGAAGTGTGGTTGAGAGAGAGAGAATAAAAAAATAAAATCGTTTATAGTTTGAAGAAGAAAATACTTCCGAAAAACTAAATTTCATTTATGACTTAAAAAATCATTTCAAAAAACTATGCTATTATTAACTTATAAGTCCTATTTATTATTCGTAATTTTACGTTGAGAATGATTTATTATTGTTTTAATAATATTGTTCGAGGGATCTCCAATTTTTAAAGTTAGGAATCAAGAAAAAATATACATTTAAATTGTCTCAGATATTTTCCTTTCTAGTTATTTCCCTTTTACTTGGGGTTATCTCCCTTAGATACATTGAGGTCTATACATATTTAGATGGAATATATATTCTAGATCATCTTCCAGTTTGTGAACTGATCTTAGATCATGCATTCGTTGCTTTTGTGGTATATGGAACTGGTTAATGTTTGATTAGTATTTTCACTAGGAAGCGGCTCCTTTCCACAGGATTTGTATTTTGATGATGGTGTTTTGGGAGTGTCACTGCGTCCTATTAAATTTATTGCAATTTCATCAAATAAAATGCTGGTTTTCCCTCCGTTTTTCTGCCTGTCAGTTTAATTTTATAGTCTGAGATTGCGTCAGGTTCGCTTTTATCTGGAGTTCATTGGATACAGTTTTGTCAAATATACCCACAACTATTGTGCTCTGTATTAAGTCTTCTATGAAGGAACCACACACGCATTCCTCGGCCAATTTAAATCTGTTCTAAATGAATTACTCAATCGGATCACCAGATTTTTGTAACCTTTTGTCAAGCTTTGTGAGGAAAACTTTTTTTTTTCTTTTTTTAATCTTACACGCCCTAAAGTAGAGGCCAAAGGCTGTTATAAACTCCTCAGCATACTGACGAAAACTATCACCTATGTCACTATGGTCTACAGAAATATAGACCTGATCTTATTAAAGGTTCATTTAAAAGTCCACACTGTCGAATGGTTGGGGAGTCGGTAAATTCAATGAACGTTGAAAATGCCTGTTCCATGTAAACAGTTTGTTTCTTTTAGTTCAAATGACAGATGCTCCAGACTTCTCGGTACTGCTACTATATAATACAAATAAAACATGAGGATGTACATAGACTGAGATTGAAAATTATAATTAAAAAATAACTTATAAATCGGATATAATTACGCATCATGTTAATAAGAGTCAGCCATTTTGATATGCCATCACTGCGAAGGGAGAGCACTCTGGTTATTTAATCCAGTTATTTCCCTTACATTGTATAGAGAATCATACAAGATTTGCTAAACATACGAAAAAGAATTTCTAAAATGGTGAAATGTCCCTTTTCAATGTGGTCACATTTTTAGATATCAGAGTATCATAGAGAATAAAATACAGTTCATTTTTGGTTTTCTGTGTACTGAATTAGACATACTTCCTATTGAGCAAAACAAAGATCAAGACATTTATTTTACATAGACCAGTTTTGTTCACTATGAAAGTTTAAAATTAAGAAAGAAATGATTTAAAGATTTTGGGACAACCGTGTTTTTATTGTCACTCTTACAGCTTTTCAGTCCATCCATTTGTTGAATATACTATCAATAGGGAAGGTCTTAAATGAATTTTAAAAATATTGTGGGAACAAGTACAATTGTCAGAAAATGCCCTTAAATTTTAATGATACTTCAAGATTGTAATCAAAAAGGTATATTTTATCATAATTGAATTCATCTCTAATTTGAATTCAATAAAATTTACAAGTGATTTCTATCACCAGAAGAAAAGTTAAATTTTTCATTTTAACACTTATTTGAATAAGTGGCTTTTATTTAATGTTGATTTCAATTATGGAAATTTTACTTTAATTACAAAAAACTGCATTTTAATCCCTATATACACCATACAAAACTGTAAATTTGTTTTAATGTTTGTGTTTTTTTCATGAAAGCAAAAACAAATTCTTACTATTGTACTTTGTCTTCTCTAAGATATTGGCCTATTTCCTGAAAAACTGAAATTACTATTTGAAATCACAATTTCAGACTTGATTTTAATAAAACATTTTTATTATTATTTACATATTATCTTTTTGCTATCTTTCAAGATTTTCGTAATTTGATGATGCATACACTGTTTCTAGCCTCTTTTATTCTCCACCAACGGCCATATTTATGTTCTTGACCAACTGCAGCCACAAGAAAGGATCCATCTTTGGAAAATTGCAATGAGTTGACAAACCCAACCTGAAAAAGAATTTTAAAAAAGTCAAGGTCATTCATAAATTCTAAATAAAACATGAATATTCTCAATTTTCTGATAACAATTTTCCAAAATCTATTTGATCTGACAAATACCTAAAAATTCACGTGGTCTGTCGGTAAAGGTCATGCTAAGAATACATTTTAAAAAAATTAGAATTCAAAGTCAATAAAAAATTTATAAACCACCAAAGTATTCAAGCATGTAAAAATCAATGATTCCCTCCAACCAATTAATATTCAGAATACTTATTTTCTAACATTGAGTTGTTTCATTGAGAAATTATGAAAAATGTGTATGTGTTTCAATTTGTTTATTTTTATAAAAGCTCAAATAGTATTAAAGCTCATCCTAGTTTTTGTAATCAGAATTTTCATCCCAAAAGTTGTCTTATTTGAAATAAATTATCCTTCCTCACCCCTTTTTACAAATTTGTGCGTGTGTGAATTTGTTTTATGCTTATTCATATCAACCAATACTAATCCTTCTTTCTCAACACCAACCACATCCCTTTTTGATATTTAATAAAGTTTTCTTAGTACAATACAAAACAAACCAATTAATATTTCATGACAAACATCATTCACACTGTATTGCAGTTTCTTACTTAAATCTTATTCATACAGTTAAGAGTAATGAAATAAAAAGTACGTACCACACGAATTGAAAATAAGGGTGTAAGAGATTTGAAATTAGGACCACATTTCCACAATCGAATGCAGCCATCTTTAGAACCTGCTGAGACAAAAGCAACATTGTAACAAGTTTTTTTTTAAAATCTATAGTTAATTTTAGTTAATGCATTTTTGATGACAACAGCAAGTTTTAGGCCTTTTTCACAAATGTCATTTTCACATGAAAAAAAAAAAAAAAAAAAAAAAAACAACCTAGATGATTAGACTGCATGAGGATTGGAAAACTAGATTTTTGCCTTTGTCATTGTCTACAATATTTTGTTCAAAACACTACAACCACCATTTTTAAATGCATGTTAGATACACATATAGTGTCAGGTTTTAATACACAAGCAAATGTTTCAACAATAAAATATTAATAAAATATTAACCATCTAATGTTGGTAAAAATGTTCACTATCATAAAGGTTTTAGTTTCTATTCTTTTCAGAAATAATGTTTTCAGAATGGCAGGTTTTATTATGTAATGTACAGCAAAAATGTTATTGCTTTCTATAACTTCTTTGTTTTAATGCTGTTTTCAGTTTTCAAATAAATCTCTTTATGATAAATCACAATTTTTCTATTGGATAAATATCTGGAGAAGCTGGAGTCCATTCCATTAATTTTAAACTTTTTTGCAAGGTGAGCAGCAACTGTCAGTCCTGCACCTTTGAAGGAGCATTGGCTTGGATAAATATACTCTAATTTAAAGCTTCTTTGTTTGTACCACTTAAAAACATTTTATCCAAAACTTGCACTAATTCTCTGCATTTATCTTGATCCTACTATCAACGGACATAAATTTTGCTACCTACATATCTGATAATCTGTTCCCAAAACATTAATGTTGTCTTAAAAGTCATGTTGGTTGACTATTTCCATAAAGGAACCCAAACTCTATATTAGCCATCTGGTCAATCCAAAATAACTATATTCATCACTAAAAATTACTATTTAGAAATCAATTTTCATGTAACCTAGCTTACACATATCTCTTTGTGGGGTTATTTAAGAGGTTGTTTGGTTGCTTTCAAGAATATAGTCAATATTCTTAAGAATCTACATTTTCTTTTTTCATCTTCTGACAATATTTTCTATCTTCTCAATCCACTTTATTACACTTGTTATCAAATCTCTTTTCATGACATTCTTAAATCCAGTATCTTTTGTTTGTATCTTGCAAATGATTTTATTTTTGACTATTTCTGTTCAGCTTTCTCACCATTTCCAACATTGTTTTCTCATCAAATAATTTTACAGCATCTTATTTTTCTTTTGAGGTTATAAATTTCTTATGGACTAATTTGCATATTTTGTTTACCTGAGGCAATTAAATCCGAATGTTGAAGGGAGGCAACTGCGGAAATCCAATTTTCTTCATTAGATGAATTTGCGTTCATTTCTCCATTGTGAGCATTTTTGTAGGTTATTAATGGCTTCTTCTTCATAACACTCCACAGACATAATGAGCTGCGAAAATAGAGAAAAAAGAATTAATAATCAGTAGTATAGTATTTCCGTTTTATCCCCACAAATCTGTTTTACAAATAACTGAGAAAAGTCTTTGTTCTGAAGGTCAAAATATAATACTAGCCAAATTTAATAGATATTTTTACCTGAAAAACAAATGTTGAAATATTTGATTATCTTGTCACAAAATGTACTGCAGTTTGTCATCAAAATTTTTCAAAATTATTTAATCACATTGAAAAAAGAAAAATTCAATACTGCAAACAACAAACAAATATGCAGCTAACTTACTTAGAAATAAGAAAAGTCTCCTTCCTTGCTTGCTTGCTTTCATGCTATGAAATTTGTTATACAGAGGCTATATATGATTTTCTATATGCCAAGTCCCTTCAGGACGTGGGTGATCACAACTTCCTATCTTTTGTTGCTCTTAATAAGTTTTGTCTTTTCTCCCAATCCCTGGTCTGCCATCTATTGACAGAAGCTTGTTAGGTAGGTTAGTTGCTGCTTTCCTGTCTCCTTTGCCTTCAATATGTCCTGTGAGTATCAGATTCTCATAGCCCACTTTCCTCATTGTGTCCAAGAAATTTCAGCTGCTTCTTTTTGATTCTAGGTACAAGCATCCTTCTGTTTTCCATTTTCCTTAAAACTTCCTCATTGCTCACATGTTCAGTCCATGGGATTCTCAGTATCCTTCTGTAGAACCACATTTTCTCAAGTCTATTCAACATTCACAGCAATAAAGGATAACAGATATTACCCAAGTCTAGTACTCTTTTTTTTCTTAGGAAATTTTCCTGTTAACATTATCTTCAGTTTCTGGAAGGCAGCTTTGGCTATCCCAAAGCACCTTTGAATTTCAGTGTCACATTTTTTGTCCTGTTAGAACACCTCCTAGATATTTAAATTTTCCTAGTTCCTTGATTTCAACAACTCCAATCTGTAATTCACAAATTTGGTTGTTGCTCTTGCTGACAATCATATATTCTCTCTTCCTACAATTGATGGTTAGTCCTTTGTTCTCGTTTTCTTTTACTACCTTCCATAGAACTTACTGCAGTTTCCTTTCCATGTCTGCTATCAGCACTGTGTTATCTGTGTATCTTATGCTGTTAAGATTGTGTCCACCAATAATAAACCCTAGTAGGATTTCCAGTTCTCTCAGGATCACAACACTGTAAAGGATGAATAAGTCCAGTGAGAAGTCGCATCTTTCTCTTGTGCTCGTTTCTATTTTTGTGTATTTTCTTTTCATATGCAGGCAGTTTACTCCCAGGATAAGTTCTGGATTATTCTAATATTTTTATGAAATAGATCAAGCTTACTTTGTTCAAAACTTGGGGAAAAAAAACAAAAAAAAAACAACTTTGATTCATATTAATTGATAAAAAATTGGATACATGTTCAGGTTTTTTATACTATAAAAAGAAAAATGACAAAAATATTCTTTAACATTCATTTGTTCTAAAAATGAAACAAAAAGTTTCCCACATTAATAATTTTTTTACTGTCAAATTATTTAGTATAGAATTATTAACCCATTAATGCCCACTGTAAAACCTGATATTAATTATAAAAATAAAAATCTGGTATTTAATCATAAAAAAACGAAAAAGAAAACCCTTTCTGCTTTCCAGAAAAGTAACTCATTGCACCTTCTTGGGCTAAAATTCTTGGCTGACATGAAAGGAAAAGACCATATTGAATCCATTACTAGGTCAGCTGCTAAGAAAGTTGGTTCACTGTGTTGTGTTAGACATTTTTTCTATCCAGAATCTATCTTACATATCTATAAGAGTTCCTTGACAAAATCCAAAGAAGAATCTGATCTGGCGTCTTTGACTCAGTCATTTCCCCATCGTCATGCCTTTTCTATAAATATCTTCATGGTAAATGTTCGGATGAGCTCTTCACTTTAGTACCTAGACTTTATGAATTTAAGCACAATACTAGACTGGCAACAAAGTCTCATCAATTTACAGTTGAGTTGGCTAAATGTAACTAAGTTCTATGCTAACAATTTCTTTTTGCACTTCTCACTTGTGGAACTCTGTTCTGGCTCCATGCTTTCCAGTCACCAACTTTAATCTTCAAACATTTGAATGCAATATTAATCCCTATCTACTATCCTTCCTGATTAGTCTTTTGTTCTCGCTCCACAGTAATGTCTCGGGTTTTCTAATTCTTCCACACCCAGTAATCCCTTGTCTTAGTGGCTTTACTGCCTTGCTTGGGGTGAACAGGCATATATGAAAAGAAATGAACAAACTTACTTATCATCACCACCAGAAAGAAAAGATGATTCATTAATGAGAGCAACACAATCAATGGAGCCACTGAAAATCAAAATGAAAAGAAAATCAATAGCAATGACACTTCATGTTTGCAGTGATTAACACATTTTAAAACCCCCAAAATACAAACCTTTTAAGTTGACATATTTAAATTTACAAAAAAAACTGTTTATTGTTAAAATGTAACAAAAACAAAAAAAAAAAAAAATTAAAAAACAAAATAAATATATTTCAGATAGGCTGTAATAGTTATGCTTTCTCTGAAAAAGTCTACCAAGACATCCTTATTCCAACCACCCCATTTTTATGAAATATTCAAGAAACTGAATTTAGGTTGCTTACTAGAAAAACATTTCATTACTGAAACCTTAAAAAAAAAAAAAAAAAAAAAAAAAAAAAAAAAAAAAAAAAAAAAAAAAAAAAAAAAAAAAAAAAAAAAAAAAAAAAAAAAAATTCAATCATCTTGTTTATTTGAAACTCAAATGTAGTCATTGTTTTCTTCTTTCAAGCTTTTGCTCCCTAAATAAAGTACATGAAAACTGACATTAAAGTCTAAAACGTGAACAAAGCAAGATTTTTAAATCCTTGTTAAGTCAAACAATATAGCATTAATAATTTGATTTTAGTCAAATAAATCAAAGATAAAAGAAATTAAGTGGCAAAGATGTAAAGTCCAAATACTAGACTAATGAAGTACATCACAGTACCACTAGTTTTCTCAGCAAGAGTAACAATCCTGTATACATACAGCATTTGACTTATTTCAATTGTATATGCACACATCTCCAAATGCCAATATTAAATTATTTTTGATTTTATGACTTGAGAAATTTAATGGTGGTTATTAGACAAGTATATTTTTAATTTTTATTACAATTACTTTAAAAATGTGCATTGCGCGGTGTAATGAGAAATCAAAGAAGAGAGTTTGAATTGCACTCAGATTCATTACATTCACTTATATGCATATATCCTTGGGGCAGGAATCCATCTCCACCCCCCCACACCCACACACCCAATCTATGGATTGAACGACATCACAGACTGGGTCCTATAGCCTAAGTTGGCAACCTACTGCGGGAAAATATGGAAGAGACATGATCACCCAAGCGTTTATCACATATGACACTTGACCGACTGACTTTATAAATGGTTATGCACAAAATGCAATTCTTTTCAAATAGAAAAATAGTAATCTATATGCAAGCAGCTTTTAGTTCATTTACACTGAGCAGTAATAACTGTTTAAAAATTTTTTTAAAAATCTCTTGACTTCATACAATCTTAAAATATCCAAAATATATTGAAGATTGTTTATTACTAGAAAGTGAACATCTCTTCATCTCTCTAATTCTAAAAGTCCAATATAAAAAAAAAAAAAACTTACGTGTGCCCATGAAAAACTAATTGTGACTCCTCCACAATTTTCCATATTCGTAAAGATCCATCTCGTCCACCAGCTGTTAAAGCTCTTTCTCTTGTCAAGCTGTCAATGGCAGTGATAGAATCTTGATGGCCAAATCTAGTAAAAAAGTGAATAAATAAATAAGTAAATATATAAAACTGAAATCTATCAATAAAGACAATTTAATTCCATTCCAAAAAAGTGAACTAGGAAAGAGAAAAAGAAAACACTTGATGAATATACTACTAAAAATTCATTAATTCCAGCCTGAATTTCTGGGATAAGGAATTATGTACACTTGTACTATTGTCCTCATCATTGTTATCACATTTCGACCATTGTGACTTTTATCAGGTGTATATCAATCAGGATAACTTACAGGGAATTCTGAAGTGAAACCCTTTATTTGATGTACAGGAGTAGGCTGTTCTCATTCAACTGCACATATCTAGAGATATCAGGTATAGTTCTTACTTTAATACAGCTCAGTTATTGCTCATCTTGTTACAACTGAGCCCAAGTACACACTGCCTAGCCCAGAGATTGAACTCACAATTACTGTGCTACCAAATTCATGAACCAGTGCTTTACTCTACTATGCTATTGTACCGTATTGTGACCTACAAGACAATAGCCTAGTGGATTAAAGGATATATACCTGATAACAGTCAGAGGGTGTAATGGCCAAAACGTTGTGATAACAATTAAAATGAAGACAATAGTCCCAATGTAAATACTATGTATTTGCTATAGTGCGGACCTTGGGGTCCAAGATGGCCGACCTGCACTGCAAGTGAATCGTGGTAGCTTGTGGGTGGGGGATAACAGGAGGTTGAACACATACCTGATTTTTGGGCCCTATTTTGCGATATATACTATAGACAATGGCTCGAAAAGAACCTCAAAAAATTATACTAATTTATGCTAATTTTTGATTCCAAATGAAATTTCTGGTAATTTGTTTTTTAAGCCTTGCACTAAGTGCCTAATAAAAATTTCCTGAAGTCATTTTTTTTTTATTCTAAAGTTCAGACTCATTAGTGTTGTTTGCATCAGTGAATGTGCAATAATTGAGACAAGTGAATGTCTATTCCACAGCAAATATATACAAACAATGCCAGTAATGGCTGCCGTGACACAAATGGGTTAGAACTTTTATTGTCAATAACTCCAAAAAGGTAGATTTTATCAAAATTTCTTTATTTAGAAATTTATTTAATTTTTAAAACATGTGAGAAAGGGGTGTAATTATCAAAACAAATTAGGACCCATCTGATGATCACTGTTTGTTCCATCGTGAAGAAGATGGCCCAGAAAATGGTAAAATAGGGTGGAATTTCTAAAAAAAAAAAAAAAAAAAAAAAAGTGAACGATATTGTTGGTATGAGAGGAAGATTTTGGGGAACCCCCACCCACCCATGGTACTGTGGTAAACTGGTTCACCTAATAGTAGTGGACTACTGTAAAATTTCACACTTATCTCACATTTGAAGTTTGCTGATTCTTATCTATTTGCATCTCAACAAATTATGAATTTATAAGAGGAGGAAAAACACCTTCAATAATGAAAAATTATCAAAACCATGCACATTTTAATATGAAACATTCTCTAGTGATAAAAAGTTAATTATCAAAATGCAAAATTAATTCCTGGGTTTAAAAAGTTGTTTAAATAAATGCTTATATAACTGCCAATATCATTGTCACTAAAATGCAAAGAAGATAACCATAAGTTTTGATTTTTCCTTATATTTTAGATTATGGTCTTAATTTATGAATTATCTAGAAAATAAAAAGAATGTAGATCTGCCTGCAAAATCTATCATTTTTGCTTGCCTTACCTTTCCACAAAATGTCATTGAATTTCATTGAGAATTTTTGTCACTATAGTATAGGTAAACAAGTGTGATTGAATATGTAATCTCTTTCTAGCAGGAGTAAAAAATATGATAGAATTAATATTTACATCATTTTTATCTACCAAAATAAATGATAAAAATTTTTTTTTTAAAAAAAAGCACACACACTAGTTACTGCTGAGAATAATTTACCGTATTTGCCAACGTATAAACAGTTATGTTTCCATAAAAATTAATTATTCAAATATTTTAAATCTGGTATTATGAGCGGGTGGTCATTCTAAAAGCTTAAGTTGTACAGCTAGAGGATCATTATAATAAACTGTAATCGACAAATTACCTTTATAAAATGTCTTCATATTTTGGTTATGCATGGGGAAGATTGACATAAAAATGAAAGTAATTCTGAAATGTGTATACAGTAAAAGATGACTCTTTATTTCTTTTTTTATTTAGATTTCAATATTTACCTTACAAAAAAAAAATATTACATAAAAAATACTACCAGAATGTTATGAAAATAGAAAATACAGTTTCATATTAAATTTAAGTGTAGCTTATTAAAATAAAAGGCATTAATACTTACAATGTTTCAACGTAACACATTTGATCTAAATCCCATACTTTGACTGATCTGTCATTAGAGCAGCTGAACAATTGGTGTGAATTTTTCCGAAATGCTAAACCCTGAAAAATAAAAGGGCAAAATATTTGATATCTTTATTCTAATACAACTTTGATATGTGTACAATGTGTTCATTAAAAGTTTTAAAATTTTAGTGATTCGGTTTGGTTTGTTTTACGGCATATCAACCTCAATGGGTTATTTAATGCCGACAACTTTTTTTCCTGGTAATATTTTGTTTTGTCAAAAACGTATTGCTGGTAATAGTTTTTTTCCCTCAAAAATGCATTGATGGTAATAGTTTTTTTCCCCCTCAAAAACGTATTGCTGGTAATAGTTTTTTTCCCCTCAAAAACGCATTGATGGTAATAGTTTTTTTCCCCTCAAAAACGCATTGATGGTAATAGTTTTTTTTCCTCAAAACGCATTGATGGTAATAGTTTTTTTCCCCCTCAAAAACGTATTGCTGGTAATAGTTTTTTTCCCCTCAAAAACGCATTGATGGTAATAGTTTTTTTCCCCTCAAAAACGCATTGATGGTAATAGTTTTTTTCCCCTCAAAAACGCATTGATGGTAATAGTTTTTTTCCCCTCAAAAACGTATTGCTGGTAATAGTTTTTTTTCCTCAAAACGCATTGATGGTAATAGTTTTTTTCCCCTCAAAAACGCATTGATGGTAATAGTTTTTTTCCCTCAAAAACATATTGCTGGTAATAGTTTTTTTTCTTCAAAAATTTATTTCTGGTAATAATTTTTTTACAAAGTTTTTCTGGTATAGAACCTATGTTTTTTACACTTTCATAATGCTTTTTACCTCAGTTTTGGGGGTTAACTATTTGCTCATAGCTGGTATTGCCTGCACCTGTGTACAAAGCATTTTTGTGTTTCTAAAATGAGCTTTGCAACACACAATACACAAGACCAATATTTAAATGGCAACACTTTTAAAACCAACTAATTTCTCAAATACAACCACATTTAAACAAGTACAATTTTTGACTGATCAGCTCTATTTTGTCTTCAGACAGAACAGGGCACAAAACTAGAGCACACAGGCCTATTACCTGGAGATTCTGCATTAAAAGGATAGAGTCAAGGATCACCATGACATCTTTGCAACACAAAGGACTAAACAATTGTTATCTTTATCCACACACACACAGAGCTTGACATTAAACCTGACCTCATGTTATATTTACCTTCATTGAGAGATGAATAAATTCTATCTACAGGTTGAATTCTAATACTTACTGTTACAGCATCTTTATGGCCCTTAAAAGTATGAATCAGCTGACAGGTTGAAGGGTTCCATACATGAACGAGTCGTTTCTGTTCTCCTGATACCTTCAAAACAGAATAAAAAATGGCAATAGAAGTTAAAATTAATGTAAAAAAAATAAACTACTCAAATTCTGCTTGTAATTTTGAAAGTTAAACCAGAGTAATACTTTTAGAATGACAATGCAAAGTAGATGCAGGGGAAAAAAGTTGACTATTCAAGCTAAATAGAAAGCAATTAAAACTTATATGCAATTTGATAGTTAAGGATAAGAATCAAAATAAAGTGGGTTAATCATTCTGCTATTGTACAACATCTGGTTTCTTAAAAGCACAGAAATTTTAACCGCTTTATGTGCATTCGCAAAATTTCAATCTGAAAGAAAAGAGTGTATTGATGAAATTGATATCTGTAATCTCTACAGCTTTATGAGTTTTAAAGATTTTTGTCAGTAGTTCACATAGTTCAAAATAGCCTGTATCTGTCTATATTTCCAAGATGCGGTATTGTAATTATTTACATTGTTTGGCCCAGTGTTGGTTGGATCCAATAACTTGACCCAAAGAATCGTGAATTCGATACCTGGCTACTGCAATGGTGGACAAAAACTGGGAGAGTTGAGTTAAAATGGGAGATAGCTGAGACATCCGGAAGAGGCAAGGTATGTGGAACTAGAACAATTCACCCCAGTGGACAAAATAAAGGTTTCAGTTTGAAATTCCAATCATACAATGACCGAAACATCATGGATATGGCAATGAAGATGACGACAACAGCCCAAATGATGTAAATAGCTGATAAGAACAAAATAACAATACAAAATTTCTGTACATTCACAATGTACCTATTTCAACAATAAAGGCTTTTTAATCATGTGCAGAGAAAATTTTTTACAAGATTAATTTTATATAATTAGATTTATAGTTAGAGCTATTAAGCAAAAAGATTAAATAATAGGTACAATAGTATTCCCATATTTTACATGTATTTGCAACACAGTATATTTCAACATGAAAGAAAATGAATTTATCCTTGTCTACATAACAGAATAAAATTTATCAGAATTTTTATTCTTTTCTTGAGCTGTTTCAAAGTTGTTAATTTGTTAATAAAACAAAAACAAAATTGCCCTACCTTAAAAAAATTGATGTTTTATAAAATATTAGCAGTAAAGTTTGGTGTTGCCCAAGAGTAAAGTTCCTCTGAACGGAAGGCCATAACCGCCATACTCATTTTGTACACACATGTAAGACTGAAGTCTAGTAGAACTGATGGCTGCCCACGTAAAAAACGTAATGTACACAAGTTGTTAGTATTCCTCAGCACAACAGAAGAAAAAATTGTAAGGCTTAAAAGAAAACAATGTTCAGCCATGGTAGCATCAGCCATTACTAAGACACCACCAATTAAAAGTTGTCAAGTTCAATACAAACAAGGGCCTTAGGAAGTTTTTGGTGAGTTGTGACAAATGGCTTTGTATTCCGATGGGATGGTTTTATTATCCCTAAGTGCAAGACATTATATGAAGCCCTGTGTCAGTTGCAACGTAGTAAAATGCAATATCGTGAAAGGTAAACGCGTCTTTTGCCCAAAAGACAGCGCTGCCACTACTGCAAACAGAACCACACAAAAGAAGTATGGGAAGGTGCCTGGGCAAGTACTTGTAAGTGGCACAAATTTTTTTGTAGTTTTCAATAGCCAGTTGAGGTGAGCATGAAGCGCACGTAGCTTTACATAAAGATGATTAGCGGTCTGCACAGGACTTTCTAAAGCTTTGGCAGACACAGTAGCAATGAATAGCAGTTTGTTGAGGTTGTTCTGAAACCCTGGAAGATGGTGTAGCCCTAGCATTTCTAAGACAACACAAAGTGGTTTGTCCAGGGCTTTCTAAAGCTCTAGAACATTCTGTAGCACTGGCATTCCTTAAACGCCAAAGGATTGTCTGTGTTGGGGACTTGGAAGCCCTGGCCCTAGAAACACGTATTGCGTCCTGTGAATTCTGTACTAAACGCTCTTCAGTTGAAAGTCTAGCGCATCGTGATGACATAATTGATGCTACTGATGCCAGCCTTTCAGTTCGTTCTGCGGTACTTTCCATGGAGATGCAAGCAGTGTGAGGCCATCTGAGAAAGGCGCAACAAAGTTTGCTCTGTGGTTTCACTTGCCCTTGCTGCTCTTGTAGTGGAGGCAGCAGCAAAAAAAGTTTTCTTCTCTTAGGTGGCATTTTAACCAATTTTAAAAAGGCAACCATAATAAAAGGTATGTAGGTTTTTTGAGTGCAAATATACGTGTAGTCTAAATGTAGGTAGGTTAGAGGGATCTCAAAAATGTATGTAACTGTATCAAAAGGGGATTGAAAACAAAAAAAGTGAAGTTTAAAAAATTCAAATAAAGCTAAAACAGTAATAGATAATTTGTGAAGTAAATTTGATAAACACGGAAACGTATGTATTTATAAGAAGTTAAAAAAACAGTTTGGATACGTAGTCAAAAACTTGCGGTTTCGTAAGAAGCAAATGAAGTGAGCCAAGTGCGGGACAGTAATCGCAGAAGTGTGAACACGCGTACAAGTTATGGTATAAAAAGGTGGTTGGCCAGTTGATCTTGAGCGCACATACTAAAGTGACATACGTGCACATGCGTGTGTAAAAGATCTGCTCGTGCGTATGATTGGATGGGCCCAAGGTTAAACACTTGCAACCATGCCAAGGAGCTTACAGCAACCTTGAACAGTTGACATGATTGGTTAACCTCCAGCTGGATTAGTCAAAGCAGTGCACAGTGTCGGATGACGTTTCAAAATAGTATCTGGTGACTTTATTGTATCGGGTTTTTTTATTGATAAATATGAAAGCTATGTACTTCCTTATCCCAAAATATGCATGGCCTTTTTGATTTACATCATCACCGATGTAGCGCAGTCTCTCAAAGTCAGCCAATCAGAAAATGGGATTTTCAAGCTTCATTTTTCTTTGAAAATTTTGAGCAGCAAGAAGATATGAGGTAGTTTTATTGATCAAAAGTTGAAAATACAAGTGTTTTTACACTTCTTATGAACAAAATTTGAAGCAATGTTAATTTCGTTTACTGATGGATGATGAAGGTATTTAAGTAGCATGAATTTAGATGAAAACATGCGAGAACTTTTTAGAGCAGCAATGCGCAGTAGTAAAATTATAGTGAGTAGGTGCCTTTTGCTACATGTAAATGGCATGAAAAGACATAAAAGTCCCCTGGTGTCCCCTTGAATGAAAAAATGCAGTTAAAAGTGACAAATTGGGGGGAGCCGATTCTGTCCACTTGGCTTAAAAATGGTGGCATGAAGTGGCATGAAATGTGTTAGTGATTGCTCACTGAATTCAATCCTATGCTTTAGTAGGCTAAATGGGCTACAAACACCTAAAAAGCAGCAGTTTCACCTTGTTTTTACTGATTTTTCTGGTAAAATTTGACATGTAGCTCTGTAAATCCCTTTTAAAATGGTCTTGATGTTTAATTTACTGTACAAATGCAGAAAACATGGAAAGTAGTGCATGCCTGCATTGAAACATTAAAAGATCCTTTTTAAAAACCATGGTATGAGGGTTAAATCCTGAAATAAAAGTAGGCTACCTGAAACCTCTACCCCATTTGGGATGCTTGATGTGTACACCCCCCTCCCCCATTCACATGTGATATCGCTTGACCCCTGAATGTGAATGGGCCAATCAGCAGCAAGCATTACGCATCATGCAAGCCACATGTGACTAATAACACTAATCCGATTGGCTTTTGGAGCGCAAACTTCAGCTGCGACAAAAATCCCTCATTGTGATAACTTTTGCATCCGAAACGAAAATATGGCCATTCTTGTCCTTTCTTATTCCCATATGAGCAATTAAATCCGACATTTTTGTAATTATGCTACCGCAATTAATACTGACATGAAAAGTGCCTATATCTGCTTGTGTGCAGTAAACGCACATTATTACACACGTATGAGTAATCAAAAATGAAAAATCAATAATATTGATTTAAATATTGACTTAAATCAATTTTTGGCTCTGCCAAAACCTTCACAGGACCATTAGCAGTAACAGTGTCAAATTTGGTTGAAATCGGTTGAAAAACGTAGGAGATCCGATCAAACATATAAACGAACACACACACACACACATTCTGCCTTTTATATATGTATATAGATTCTAAAATAGAATTTTTAAGATGACACATTGTCATTAATAATTTTAACTAGTTTATCTTTCATCTTATTGTCACTTTTTATCACAACACGCCAATGGAATGAGAAAAACTATGGCTATATGAATAGATTTGATATCTGGCTGCTGTTGAGTCAACATAGGCAAATCAATGATCCAAGTCTCATTTAAAGACTACATCTTTATTTCTTATCAATGCTACTTCATGTAAAAATGATCTGAATGTTATAAAAAGCAACAAAAATAAAATGAATGATGAAAATTAAGACTGATATTCTGAAATACTGATATCATTGGTATGGAGTTTTCACATATTCAAAATATTATATATTTTCAATATTATTGGGTGGCATATTAAATAATTGAATGATATAATCAGAAGGAAAAAGATTTGCTGAAGACATGACCTTATAAAGAAGTTAAAATGTTATACAAACTAAAAATGAAATAATTGAGAATGCAATTAATAAGGCACCAAAAACATTTTTAAATTTACTTAATGATGAGAAAATTAAGTAACTTTTAATCAACATTTTAAAAACCAATTCTTTTCTTTCAGAAAAGAGAACAAAGACAAAAGAAATTCAAACCTGCACTCACAAGGAATTTGCTATCAGTTGATATGGCAAGTGCCAATATTTGTGATGAGTGACCAACTTGCTTAACTTTATTTCCCTTCTTCACTCCAGGAATCATATGCACCTTATGACCTTCTTGGACACTCCCTGAAAATCAATGTTGTAAATGTTAACAGAAAACCAAGACTTGTCAAAAATCTTTGAAGATAAAATATTCTCAGCTAATCAAAGAAATCATATGGAAATAGTGTCCATGTATTAAATATGATTTTCCTCATACAAGGACACCTAAATGGGTCAAAGCACCAATAATGTGTGTGCAAACATACTGACAGTGCTTTTGTTTCATAGACAAAACATGTCACATGCATATCAAAATAAATTTAGCTATTTTTTTTTTTTATTTATGACAAATAAGTAATATTCACAGCAAACTGTCAAATACTCTTCATACTAAATAGAGGTTGGTGCTATATAATCTTTCAACCCACTTTTTTTCAATGCTGGCAAACACCATTGAATTTTTCTTTTAAACAGAGACCAACAGAATAGCTTCAACTACTTTTTGCATTTTACCAAAAGTTCAAAGGTGTCTCAATATTTAACACTGATCAAACTTTGTAAATAAACTACAAAGGGAATAACAAGTTATGTAAGTATGCAATTTGTAGTCTAAAAACAAAAAACTGCTAAAACAAAATGTGAACCATTCAAATTTTAACAAGTAGCAACTGCATCTTAACTCATATTTAAATATTTTTTTTAAAATCTCAGGATAGAAGTTGTTATATAGGAATAAAATGTCACTGCTGACACTTTAGTTTAAAAATAGATTTTGCTAGTGAGCAAACACAGGAGATCCCATAATTGAATTAAATGGATTATGTGACCATAGAGGAAATACATATATGGGAGGTATCATGACAACTAATGATCGCTATTTCTAGTCTATCCTCTACTACTATACAGTACACTATTTCTCCTCTATCACTATACAGAACACTATTCTCTACTCTATTCACTATACTAGCTCTACTATTTGGATCACTATAGAGTGGTTACTATTTCAGCGAGTATTATCGAACAAGCACTATTAGCACAAGATTATTCGAAGGCATCTGATACCAGTATTGGTTTGGTTAGTTGGGTTTTATGGCATATCAACCACTGTAGGTCATTTAATGCCAAATTTAGTTTATATATTAAATATATAAGACTTGTAAATGTCTATAAGCTATATAAGCTAGAGCTTATTTGCTAACACACTGCAAAATAATTCCAGGTATTACTGTCTAGGACAAGGATTTCCATTTAGTATGGACAATTTGTTTACACAATGTTAAAAGGTAACATATTAATTACACATCAGAGTACATCCTTGAGAAAAGACAAATTCTTTTCAGGAAGTTTATTATATGACTTGGATCAATTTTTGTAAATAGTTCCTTTGTACTCTTAATGTTGTAGAACTTTCTTTGAATGTGTGTAAGGTTTGTGCATTCTATCAGTATATGTTTTACTGTGTATTGGTTTCTACAGGAACATTTAGGAGGAGGCTCTCCTTCTAGTATGAAGGAGTGAGTCAGTCTAGTGTGTACAATGCATAGCCAAGTAAGAGTGGTTTCTTCTCTTCTTGTATTATTAAGATTCAGTTTCCTTTCTTTTAAAATGGGTTCTATTTGGTAGAGATTATTGTGGGTATTTTTGTCCCATAGTTGTTGCCATTTTTGCATCATTATTTTCTTGATTTTATTTTTTTTTTGGTCCATATATGGGATTTTTGAGTTCTGGTTGGATGTCATATAAGTGCAGCTTTTGCTAAGGAATCAGCTTTCTCATTTTCCTGAATTCCAATATGACTTGGGATCCAACAAAATATCACCTTTTTATGTCTTATGGAGTTGATTTTGTTTAAAAGTTTGACAATTAAAGGGTTATCCAGTTTTGTATTTTTTATAGATTGTAGGACAGAGATGGAGTTGGTATGGATGATGAATTTTTTTAAGTTGCTTGCACAAACAATCTTAAGTGCTAATTTTATTGCATAGATTTCTGCAGTAAATATGGAGGCTTCTTTTCCTTATTGAAAACTGCTCCACACCCGGTTCTATTGCTGTCTTTGGAACCATCTGTGTAAATGTGCGAGTAGTTTGGGTATTTTCCCTGAATATTGAAGAGTTTTTCTTGGTAGGTTAATGGGTGGGTTTTATTTTTAGGGAGCTTGTTTAAATCAATAATAATCACAGGCTGCTTAAGTAGCCAGGGTAGTAAGCTTAATTGAACGGTATCATGGATGTTTGTGATTGGAATATCCATGCCTTCCACTAAGGGTTTCATACGGAGACCAAAAGGTTTTATGGCCTTTACTTTTTGATCAAATAGTTTTTGATGTTTGGGGTTGAAAATGCACTTTAAAGGCTGGATTGGTTGGTTGCGATTTAATTCTACTGTAGTGCTGCAGACCTAATTTTTGCAATCTAAGTTTTAGTGGTGGTTCATAAGATTCAGAATAAAGGCTCTCCACTGGGGATGTGTGAAATGCCCTAAAACAAGTCTTTATCCTTCATGGTGTACTGAATTTAGTGTTTTCAGGTAGGATTTTCTGGTTGCCCCATATATGTAGCAGCCATAATCAAGTTTTGATCGGATTAATGTTCTATATAGTTTTAATAGGGTTTGCTGATCTGCACCCCAATCTTTGTGGGCTATTATACAAAGTAGTTTTTAGGGTTTTGTTGCATTTCTCTTTCAGATATTGTATATGTGTATATGTGGAATGAAAGTTAGTTTTTTGTCAAAAATAACTCCTAGGAATTTATACTGGTCAACTACCGGAATTTCTGTTCCGTCTAGCTTCAGTGTTGGGTTGTTATGCATTTTCCTTAACTGACAAAAATGCACGCATTGTGTTTTTGATTTAGAGATCTTGAAGCTGTTTATGATAGCCCATTTGTTTATTTTGTTGATGCCCTGCTGTAGTTGATGCTCTGCTGTCCACATGTATCTGGATGTGGAAGTGACACAGAAGTCAACCACATACAAATAGTTATCAACTCCAGGATTCAGGCAATTGGTAATGCTATTAATTTTGATGTTGAAGAGGGTTACCAACAGTATACTCCTCTGAGGGACACCCACTTCTTGATTTTGAATGTCCGACAGGGTAGAAACTAAATCAGACTCAGAAATTTCCTGTCTGAAAGAAAAGATTTTATGAAGTTTGGTAGTCTGCCTTTCAATCCCATGTCATGTACGTCTTTCATGATCCCATACCTCCAAGTGGTCTTATATGCCTTTTCCTGATCGAAAAAAATGGCTAGGTGGTGTCGCTTTTGAACATTTGCATCCCTTTATGGAGGTTTCCAACCTGACCACATGATCCATTGTAGATCTTTGGTTTCTGAAGCCACATTGCGAGTTGGTGAAGAGATTATTCGATTCAATGTATCAAACTAACCTTTTATTCACCATACATTCCATAGTTTTGCACAGACAACTGGTCAGTGCTACTGGATGATAATTTGTTGGATAAAGATTGATTTTCCTTGGTTTATGTAAGGGGATGATGGTGGCTGGTTTTCAGGATTCTGGGATATTACTATTTTCCCAGATGTAATTAAATGTATTCAATAGGTAGTCTAATGATTTTGGAGGTAGTTGCTTAAGAAATTCATAATGAATTTCATCTGGGCCAACTGCAGCATTGTGAGATTTTTGTATGGCTTCTTTTAATTCGAGTAATGTGAAGAATCCATTATAGTTTTCAGTGTTGTCTGAATTGAAATTTAGCTTCTGTTTTTCTATTTTGCCCTTGTAGTTGTAAAGTTCTGTGTTAGTGTTGTCAGAGGAGGAATTTGCCAAGAAGGTCTCAGCCAGTGTATTGGCAATATCTTTAATATTTGTGACCTCATCATTATTTTTAATGAGGTGTTCGATCATAGTAGGTTGTTTTTTCCCAGCAATTTTCCAGATCATTTTCCATACTGTGGTAGTTTTGGCAGAGGAATTAATTTGATTTACATAGTTTTGCCAACTAGTCTTTTTGGCCAGCTTAATTGTTTTCCGGGTCTTTGAATGCGTTTAGGTCACTGGTAGAGGGTTCTTTATTGAATTTGCGGAGGGCAGCATTTCGCAGTCAGATTGCTATTTTACATTCATTATTAAACCAGGGTATGTTGCATCTGTTTGATGGAGAAGTTTTTGGTATGGTTTCATTTGCTATATAATAGAGGGTCGGGAATAGTTCCACAAGAGCAGATTGTATAACATGATCAGGAGAAAATAAAAACAAGTATATATGCTAGGGCATGTCGGGACCAGCCGATTGATCGGATCGGACCTCTCCAACCGCCCATCTAAGGGCCAAAGTGGAGTGTTGCAGTGCCATGTCTGCTTTTTCCTGGGTCATGGATTGCTCAGCCACCAAGATTCCATCTCCAGGCATTACGGGTCACCACCCACAGCCAACAGGTGGCCCCATTGAGAGACTTTTACTCTCTGCAGGGGGGCAGTCGACAAATTCAGACACCCTGCATACAGGAAGAAGGGCCTATTTAGCCCATAGCTGGGGCCCTAACAGGTGCTACCACCCCAGATCAGGGTGGACCTGGAAACAACAGCAATTAAGAGGTGGTTCCATGCTCCTCACAACCTCCCAATCAGAGGCCTTGCTACCAGATGCAGTTTACGGTCATACCCAGGACTGATACCAGTACTGTTCAGTGGCATTACTATAGTTGTCTCTACTACAACAAGCATTACAAAACTGACGAGCATTCATTGAAATCACAAAAGAAGTATAATTTCCCAATATTTCAAATAAGAATAGCAGTAGCTATTATAAAAAACCTTGAACAAATATTAAAGCAGCAAACACTAGATATAATTTTTGTCATTGGCAGTAGGGGTTAAATTTGAAAGTCATTACACAACTCTACAAAATAATGACTGAAAGAGCATTTTGAAATTTGTGTAATAAAGTTATTAAAAAATATAAATCATAAAATAGCTACATTTTTTAACAGATGAGAATACAAACGCGTTTGAATAGTCTTAATATTTAAGAACAAATTTTTAGTTTTAAAGGAAGAATCAAAGTGGAAAATTTATTTTCATGATCTATTCAAAAATCAGATTTTTAAAAATTGAAATTCTTAAAAATTTACATTTGATTAATGAAGCATCTTTGGAAGCACTGAATATGAATTTGTCATCAGAAGAAACAACGGCACAAGTAACAGGTAGTTTATGGCCTCTCAACACAGTTACATCGGAAGGATCAGGAACAATATACTGGACAGGAGAGATAAAAAAAAGTTTTAATTACTTGCAAAACTTTGAAAAAAAGTTTCAAACGGTTGATAAAAATTATGATGTAGCATATAATAGATATTTTCTAAATAAAATATACAGTTTGTAACTTAATGTCGGGAGTGTTGATGCATTTAAATATGATTTCTGATGAGAAATTAATCTTTAACAAATAAAACAATATAATCATTACTTTTAATTTACTAATGAAATAGATAAAAATTAAAATTAGAACGGAGTGGTAAGAAAACAATTACATAATTTTAAAGATAAGAGTCCTTTAATGAAATAGCAAATATGAAGGGAAGGTGATTGAAATGGAGAAAATAATTAAAAGTAACTGTCTGAATTTCTGGAATTTTAATATATAATTTTCCTGCCCAGTATTTAGTTAGTTTGGTCAATGTAGTGAATTTATAGCAGTTTCTACAATTGTTACTCTGGGAGAAACAATGAAGAACCAGTCTGGGGTTGACAGTTATACTCAATTTTCCTGAATTTCCTCAAATTAAGTTTAGGTTCAATTTCCCCTAGAAACTTAAATCTAATTTCACTTATCAACCCTAACTAACCATTTTTATTTGTTTTTCTCTATTGCACTTTGTTGGATTATAAGAATAGGGAAACCTTTTTAATTATACTTAACTACCAACAACCGACTCCGGGGATCTACTTACCTCTTTACAGATCAGAATATAATTCAGCAAGTAACATTCATATTAATCAAATATGTTACAAATCAAAAGATTGATTTTAGTTTATAAAAATCAAACAAACATTTTTTTAGAATTTAAATGTCTAATTTCCAATGTTTGAAAATAAACAAACACTTTCAGCTGTGCAAATATACTTTCTTGGGATGGTATACTTGAATAGGACACATAATGAGGAAAGAGGGTTTGGAAAATTTGATACTCACAAGACAGATTGAAGGCAAGAGGGACAGAGGAAAACATAAGATAACATACTTAGTAAATGGATAACAGAACAAGATTTAGGAGAAATGACAAATGTTATTAAAAGCTACAAAAGACAGCAAGTTGTGGAGTGACATGATCACCTACATCCTGAGGGGACACAGCACAAAAATTCTTGAATAAGTAATCCATGAATAAAAAAACAAAAAGAAATTAATTGCTGAATTAATATTTTTAAGCAATTCTTTGTGTGTGAGAGGAAAAAAAAAAGATATGCACTCTCAGCAAATCTATAAAAGCAGGGTTCTTTGTTTTGCTCTTTGAGATCTTGTATTGCAGAAGCAATTTAAAATTTTTACAATAATCAACTGTATTTAAACTTGTGTATCCACTTTTTTTATGTTGCTTTTTATATCAGAGATTTTATTTTTGTTAGATTTACAGTAAAAATTTAAGTTTAATAATTATACCAAAAGTAAATTATTCTTTATAAAAATTATTACTTTATAATTCATATATAATGAACCATGAATCTATAAAAATATACAAAAAGTCATTTTGACATAGTAAGTAAAAAAAAAAAATAATTAAATCAACTTACCTGGTCTGCAATTTCAAGATGCAATTTACCTTTTTGTTCCAACTAGAAAACAATTTTGTGATAAAATATTTCATAAGCAGGAGTAATCAATGAGTAGAAATTAATTCTGATATCACTGGTTAGTAAACAATTATCAAACTAAGTATAAGAAAAAAAGCTCAAATAACAAAATTAATGAAAATTTGTTAAATGCAAGTTTTGTTTTTTTTCTTGTTTTTTTTTTTTTTTTTACTAAAGATTAATTTTCCACTAATTCCAAGAAAATATTTTATGATGACTAAAAATTTAAAATATGATATAAGCTAGAAAAGATTTGTATATATCCTTAAATTTTGGATTTCAATGACCAGTTTTAACAGATCCAAATTTTACAGCAAAAAAAAAAAAAACTCACAAAATCATGTTTTAAACGATCAGCAACAACATCCCTAGCACCAGCAGCTCCATCATCATCATCAACAGCAGCATCACCATCTAAGAAAAAATACAATGTCAAAAATACACAATTTTTTTTTTTTTGTGGGGGCAGAGAGGGGGGCCGAATATAATTCAGAATATTTTGGATTTAGTAATTTTTCAGTTAGGATGAACTTCTTAATTCTTTTTTTTTTTTTGAAAGGATATGTATGCTGCCAGTTGTTAATCATAAGAGTCTGGAGGGGGGGGGAACTCTGGAACTTGAGAAAGAGAAAAAAAAATTAAAAAAATAAACAATTCGTTTTCGTCCAATAGTATGATTAAATGAAAATATAATGTCACTAATTACATAAGTATATACCAAAGGATCACATGAACCAATTCAGTACACCTCATGTTGATGCAGTTTTTCCCTTAAAATGCATATATAAAACAACCAGAAATCATTCTAAAAGTGAAGTATTTGGTAGAAAATATTTGAAATAAATAAACCTTGTCCTTTGAATTTGAAACCTGATAAGTCCTAAATTCCTGGAATGCCAGACACTATGAAGTGATCATATGGTTACTTTTATGCATTTTATGATCTAGTGAATAAATAAATGAGTATATGTATATATAATGCCAAATACAAATAAAATAATTTTGTTTATTAATTTATATCTATTATTTACACATTTTCCTTTCTCTACAGACTACTTCAGACATTAAAATTTTTTTTCCTATCCCAGAATTCCAATTCATATATTCCAATATTTTTTCTTACTTCAATTTACTTAATACCAATAACAATTGTTTTTAGAACACCTGAACAGTTCCTTTCACAAATTTGTTCCTTGTTATTTGCATCAAATACATGCAGACATGTTTGATTAGATTTGCAAATAAGTTTCTGATAACCAATAAGGAATGTTGTGTTGTGATAAAACACTTGATTATGGAAAAAAGTACACGTATTAACCAAAATTTCTATACACCTAATCTGATCAACTGTCACAAGCCTTTCTAGCAAGCTATAAATCATCACAAACAATTAAACAATTTTCCATTACATTCCAGAGATATTCAGCACTGAGTTGATGAAGGAGAATTTTCTAGAATGTTCTGACAACATAGCAGTATAAAAACAGGGAACATAAGCTCAACAGTTCAATTTTCTTCTAGTTGTCTTAAGTGCAGACAAGTTGCTGTTGATAGATGCATTTGTCATAGATGGCATCAAGAGGTTATAAGCATCTGACAGAGACATTTTGCTATGACTAAAAGCATGATTATCAAAACAAACCCTGACACCTCATTTCACCTGTGAACTCTGCAAAAGAACTATAGAAGGCAAAATGGAAAGTTTTGCTTGTTCAGATAGTGAAATTTTTAAGTATAAATGTTTGGGATTTTTTTTTAATTTGGATGTTACTGAAAAATATGTATTAAATAGGTTTCAACAATCAGGCATTAGTGTCTACATCATGGATGTTTTCTATACTGGATCACTAGCAAATGCTACAAAAATACAGAATATTAAGGATGTTCAGTATTCAAGATACCATGGTTTTGTGGCATTTGCTGTATTAATTGGCTTCCAAAGTCAGAATTTTACATATCCAGTGAACAATTTTTGAGAAATTTCAAAAATCAAAAATGTAATTTTTTTAGAATTTTTCAATAACACTGGGTGAATATATTTGTATTTTTATACTCATATTTTTATTTTGTTCTTTTGAAGTCTCAAATAGAGGTGAAAATAGAACCATGAAATTTGCAATCCCACGAATTTGGCAGGAACTAACTGACCACTCAAGCAATTGCTTCTTCTGTATTGTGGACCATTCCAAACATCAAGCTAGCAAGAATGTACCTTCTATCATATATCCAGACCTTCTGTCATCCATTGCCCCAGAGCCACATTGCCTTGAGCTCCCTGTACCCATTCCTCCAAAGAGAGAGAGCAAACATCTTCAGAAGAGGATGAATTCACTGATCCAGATTATAGCAGTGCAGCTGAGGAAAGAAACCCATACTATGCCAACCAAAAAGACCTCAACAACCTGATCAGAGATCTTGGTCTCACAAAGTTCAATGCCAAGATTTTGACATCAAGACTCAAGCAGTGGAATTTGTTAGATGAAAATGTACAAGATGCAGGTCAAAGAAAGCATCACCTGTGTTTTTCAAGGTTTTTCACTTGTCAAGATGGGCTTTGTTTCTGCCACAATGTGACTGATCTGTTTGAGGCAACTGGAATCACCTGTAACCCCAGCAAGTGATACCTCTTCATCAACAACTTCTCCAGGAGCCTTTAAAGCTGTGCTGCTTCATAACAAGAACATGTACATATCTCTTCTCCTGGCTCATTCAATGCAGAACAAAGAGGAATACAGCAGTGCCAAGATCTTACTAGATGCCTTGAAATGTGATGAGCATGGTTCAGAGGATATCAAAGACTTCAAAATGGTGGCCATTCCTGATATGTGTCCAAGGCAGTTTTGCCAAGTTTCCATGTTATCTTTGCTTTTGGGACAGCAAGGGCACCGTGGCACACTACCACAGGCAGGTCTGGCCATATCAGACAGAGTTTAGTGTCAAGAGGAACAGAGTAAAATGGGAGTCACTGTTGGAACCCAGAAAATAGTTTCCTCCATTGCACTTAAAAATGGGCTTTATGAAACAGCTCTAGATAAGGAAGTTGCATCTTTCAAATACCTTCAAAAGTTCTTCCCAAAACTTTCTGCAGCAAAAGTCAAAGCTGGTGTTTTCACTGGACCACAAAGAGTGCAAGGAATTCCACAAGAAGCTCACTAGAATGGAAAAAGCAGAGTGTGGAACAGCTTTGTCATAGTGGTTCAGGGCTTCATGGGGAATCATAAAGCCAAAAACTGGAGCTTGTTGAGGCCTTAGTGAACAACTACAGCCAAATGGGCCACATGATGTCCCTCAAAGTTCATATTCTTGATGCTCATTTTGATAAATTCAAGAACATGGAGGCAGACTAGGAGGAGCAAGGAGAGCCCTTCAACCAGAATATACTGGACTTTGAATGCCACTACCAAGAATCCTAATGAAAACTATATTTGGGGGATGATTTGTAAAAATAATTTACAGTATAAATTGCAAAAAACTACTCACTTCTAAATTTTTTGTAGTCTCTCTTGTGTAATCATATAATAAATAAATGCTACTTTTGAATCATGTTATTTTGTTCTTATTTTGCATGAACAAAAATGCCCGCATTTGCTAGTTTTCCCAATGGGAATAGTCAAATTTTAGAAATATCATTATTCTGGTCACAAAAGCAAAGTTTGAAGGAAATATTAGCCATTTTTCATGCTTTTAGCCATAAGCAAATAGTAAATAACAGTTGCTATCCAAAGACAAAAATCATGTTACAGTGTTATTCATTTTTGGCTAGTATTTCTTTTATTTTAATTTCATTTACTTTTATTGCAACCACTCAGATGGTCATTTTGCCAGTGGCAATAAACAGCACAGATTAGGAATAAAAAAACAAACCTTTAGCAAGACTTGAATTCATTCCTTTTCCCTCTAGAAGCTATTCTATCATATAAGCCACAAAAGTCAACAGATGAAGTTCAAATCTGTCCAGATGGCTTTATTCAGTGCCAAGCATTATTTTTCAGTCAGTTAAAGGGGGGGGGGGTCTCTAACAAATATCAAGAAAGCTTCACTTCTGCTTTCAAGCATTTGGAAATTATTACAGAAATTAGAAATTCAAGCAATCATAAAAGAATCTGTTTACCCTCTTCAGCCTTTAGCTGCTCCAAATATTTCTTGGCTAATCGGATCTTTTTTTCCTGTGCAGTCTCTTCATCAGAAGAATATTCTGAAAGATCTTTCTCTTCAAGCTCACTAGAAAATTAAAAAATAAGAAAAAGAAATTAAGTCAGATAAAAAAAAAAAAAAAAAAAAAAATAATAACTATATCATGAAATTAGTAGTACATATACTGCAGCTGCTGCTAAATCTCATGCCATGAACCCATGCAAGCAAACCTTGTCTCTTCAGCTCTCATGGTGTTAACAGATACATTCTACAGTGCCAAATTAATCTACTTGAGGTCCTGGTGGACAACATTCTTCCAGTGGTTGCATGGTCTGCCACAAGGTCATCACTAGTTTGCAATTGACAAATCTAATGGGTTGATAACTTTAGTCAGGTGGTCATCAACTCACTGCAGGACGAGACCGTGTCAGTGAACATAGAACTGAGCAATACTGCAAAGGATATTTAGCTGGCCAGTCCTTTGGTGAAGCTCCTCAATGGACACAAGATTGGACCAGTGCATCCACTTGGTTTGTCCTGAGGGCATGGAAGACAAGGGTCTTGTTGAGAGGCTACGTCTTGGCACCGTACACTACAGTAGTACAGAGTGGACAGTGGCATTGTAAACCCATAAATTGGCATACTGGGAGAAGAAGGTCTAAGCAAGCACTGGCAAGAACATTTCAGCAAACTGCTCAACTGACCCCCATCAATCAACACAAATACACTGAACCAGATCCTGCAGTAGCTGATACAGGATGCAATCACCATGCCGCCAACTATTGCCAAGATCTACAAGGTAGCAGGCCCAGACACCCGGGAAAACGGGGGGGGGGTTATTACATGATGTCCTGCAGACTATCCGGGAGAAGAAGATGCTAGATGACTTCGATGATGCCCTGATTGTGTCTCTTTCTCTCTACAAGAACAAGGGTAGCAAAGCTGACTGTGGAAATTAAAGAGGCATTTCCTTCTCTCCATTACTGGAAAGATCTTCACCAGGGTCATCCTCAACTGACTCATCACAGTCTCTGAGGAAAACCTTCAGACCAGGCAGAAGTACTATTGATATGATTTTTGCCATGAGACAACATCAGGAGAAGTGCATCAAACAAAACATGCCTCTATACTCTGCTTTCATTAACCTGACCCAGGTCAACATTGTCAACAGGGAAGCACTTTGAACAGTCCTTGAGTGCATCAGCTGCTCACCAAAGTTCATGAAAATGATTAGGCTCTTCCTCATGACAGCATGACTGGCTAGGTCCTCTCCAGAAGTAACATGACAGACACTTGAAAGATCAGCAATGGTGTAAAGCAAGGCTATGTTTTAGCTCCAGTCCTAGTCAATGTCGTCGTCATCTGCATGCTGTACCACACTGTCCAAGATCTGGAGCAGGGAGTCTATATTCACTACCATTTAGATGGCTCCCTCTTTGACCTTCATCACCTGCCAAGAGCCTCCAAGATCTCCTCCAGGAAGCCCTCTTTGCTGATGACTGTGCACTAGTGGCCAATGCATAGTTCAATCTGCAGCTGATTCTGGACCGCTTCTCTGACGCCTCCAAGCTCTTCAGCCTGACAATAAGTCTCAGCAAGACCGAAGTGCTTCATCAGCCCACACCAAACACAAACACCATAGCACCGATCATCATTGATGACACACAGCTTGCCAATGTTGAGCATTTCAAATACCTGAAAAGTACCATCTCTTGTGATGGTTCCTTGGACAAAGAAATTGATGCCGAATCAGCAAAGCAAGTCAGGCATTAGGAAGACTTTGCAACAAAGTGCTCAGCCAACACATTCATCTATGAAGCTGAGGGTACAATGCAGTGGTCTTTCCCTCTCTTCTATATGGTTGCAAGTCTTGGACACTGTACCACAGACACATCAAGAAGCTGGAGAACTTTCACATGTGAGTGCTCTGTTCCATACTCAGAATTCGCTGGCAGGACTGCGATACCAACCTTGAGGCCCTAAATCGTGCTCACTCCTCAAGCATCAAGTCCATGCTCATTAAGGACCAACTCCAATGAGCGGGGCATATCATCCACATAGAGGAGCACCGCTTGCCAAGATGTCTGCTGTACGGAGAGCTCCTGCAGGGCAAGAGAAACCAAAGCGTCCAAAGACACTGTGAAAGAATATATACAGGAGTGCAAATTCAAATGCAAAGAATGAGAGGAGTGCACCAGTGATCAACCACATTTGCAAATCACAATCCATGATACTGCTGTAAACCTTCAAGGATGCTAGACACCGGAAGCTCACCACTACCAGAGATCAATGTCATCATCAGCAGTGATTATAATGATTTTCAGTGACCCCACTGTTCCAGACTTTGTGCTGCCACTTCACAGATGAGATGCAGAAACAGATATGTCATGTTTGGATTCAAAGGACAACCGTTATATATTTGCTTTAAATAATTTTAATTTTATACTGACCTCTAATTTTAAACATTTTGATCATTCAAATTCATTACATTAAATATTTGCATGAATTCATAATGATAAAAAAATATAGACTGATTTAGAAGTTTTTTTTTTATAAAATATTGTAAGCTTCTGATAAAGAAGATTTATGAAGGGATTTATTTTAGAAAAAAAAGAGGGTAACATATAACGTATATATAATGTTTTGAAAATTCCCTAACAAAGAAATTGGGTATAATAATGATTTCTTTCATTAATTTATATTCCAAATATTTTTTTTTTTTTATGTACAATTTGTATTCTTTAACATTTTAAGAATTAATGTAATTTCCTTTAAATAATTTTATACTGATCTATCATTTTAAATATTGATTATTCAAGTTCATTACATTCTTTAATATTTGCATGCATTCATACTGATAAAAAAAAAATTAACCAATTTGGAAGTTTTCTTTTTTTTAAAATATTGTAAGCTGATAAAAAACGATTTATAAAGGAATTTATTTTACAAAAAAAAAAAAAGTGGGGGATAACATACAACATATACATAATGTTTTGAAATTGGGCATAATTATCCAACAGAATTTTTAAATCAGCTCACTGTGTCAGGATTACTCCTCATGAATTGCAATTTAAAATTGGTGCAATTGTTATGCTCATACATAATCTCAACCTGAAAGGCTTACTTACAACAAGACATACTGTTAGATCCTTAGAAGTGCACAACATTAAAGCTAAAATTATATCTGTCAACAAAAAAGGAGATTCAGTTTTTATACCTAGAATTGACTTGACACCAAGAGAAACAATGCTTCCTTTTATTCTGAAATAAGACAGTTTCCTGTTTTATCTTCATTTGTCAGGACAATAAGTCACAAGGACAGTCATTGAAAACTGTAGGGATATACTTGCCCAAACCAGTTTTCATTCATGTACAGCTTTATGTTGCTCTTAGTAGGATGAAAAATGAGCAGACTTTAAAATTACAGATTGATACTATCGACTGTCAAACCTTCCAAAGTTTAGACACAAAAAAAAAAAAAAAAAAAATATTGTGCTTTGAGAACTTTTGCAGTAAATGTAATTTTGGTTGCAAATATATAATATTTATAAGGACAAAATATTTCCTTAGGTATTTATAACTTGTACTACATATTTTGAATAAAGCATAAATAAAATGTATATATAAATCTAATGTTTGGTGTTTATTTCTTTATTAAATAACTGCATATTAATAATAATAAAGTTTACATGACAATTTTAACATTGCATATGTATTGATAGAATTTTTACCAAATTCCAACTCAATATCATTTACTCAAATCAATAAGTGATCACCAACAAGAATTCAGCATTAAAAGTGGTATTATTGAATAGAAATATTAGTGAACACTGTTCAATTAACATTAACAGCAAACTAGTTTTAATAAAATTATATTTGGATTAAACAAAAATTAGTTACAATATAACACATATTACATATAGGTACCTTCATGAGATTGCTAAAAAAAAGAGCATAGCATGATGAAAAAGATGCCAAACTTGACGAAAACAAAATTTTATCATCTAGCCACGTCTTGTTATGAACAATAGAAAGTAGACTAAAGATTATTAAAATACAAATTGTAAGAATCAACATCTGACAAAGACAGCTGCAGAAAGCCAGAGCATGGATTAGCCCAAACAGCAAAACAATAAGAAATGAAGATGAGAATAGTAAGAAGGAAACATGTTGAATAAGATGTCCTAAAATAGAGAAAAAGAGATAATTTTATGAAAGATTATTGAATATCAACAAATTCACTGTACATTTCTAGGTATCATTTCTATTCAAAGCAAAGATTCACTCACCTGTCTGATTCTATTTCTTCATCTTTGGCATTGGAAGATTTTTTGTGATTCTGAAAAATAACACAACAGTTTAAAAATGATATATAAACAAAACTGCTGAAAAACATTGTATAAAATCAAATTTTTTTAAAACTTATCTTATGCGTTAAGAAATGTGTGTGATACTGTGAGTGTGATGTGTTCTGTGTAGTGTACATCATGCTTTAAAAATAGAAAAAGCTCACTGTAGTATTTTTGTACAAATTGGACATTATTGTACACTACAGTAATTAATCAGTGGGGAAGAATTCCCTTATTTTCTCTTTATCGAGTAACCTTAAAGAATTCGTTGTTTGTGCACCTCATAAAAGGAAAATAGATCAAAGAAAAGCTGATGATAAATTTTGATTCATATGCTGGATATGATTTAAAAACGTTGTACACAAAAAAAAAAAATCTCGCCACTAGAAAATAAATTTTGAAAAATTAACGCTAATACGTTTTTTTTTAACTTTAACATTTTAAAATAAGATTTTGATTGGGTGGGTCTCTATCAAACTATAATTGCTATCTCCATGAAAAAAATGTGTTCAGACGAACTACACTCCTTAGTTCCACCAGTCCTAACTTTCACGGCTAAGACCCGCTATGTCATGCACATTGAAGCAAACCATCCTCATTCCCGACGTATTCCATTATTGAAGTAGATGCAAGTTCCATTTGAGAAGCTTCTCCCACGAACTGCTGCTTTGTGGAACAAACTCCGAAGAGGATGCTTTCCCGATCACTACAATCTGTTCATGTCATGGGTCAACAATCGTTACCTTTCCCCACATACACTGTGCCTCTTCTTACTCAGTGTAAACTTTTTCTTTGAGTGACTCTTTAGCCTTTTACAGAGTGAATATCATTGTAAAAAAAAAAAAAAAATTGTTCTCTTCACTTTGCAAAAAAAGAACAATTTGATATAAAAATCGTAATCTACGGCTTCTTCAAATAAATTTATATTTTATTGCAATACATCATTTCCTAGATTCGTGAAATAAAGTACGCTGTAGATATTTAATTTTCATTGTAAAAAAAAAATAACGGATTTTAAAAGAAATAAGAGTTTTCGCAAGTACATGTATTGACTTAAGAAAAAAGTTATGTTCGTGCCAAACTTTAAAGCTATGAAATCGATATCATTAACTAAAAAGTAAAAACGTAACTTTTTCCCTACTATGAGAGGAAAAAATGCTTGATCAAAGAAAATTTATTGAATTAAGAGAAGATCAAGTTTTTAAAAATAAAAAAAAAAACTAAGTATACAAACGTGTTGTTTCGGAACACGTGGGTACATAGCAGAAGTTTGAAAAACATAAAAAGTGAAACTTTTAAACTTACTAAATCGCCTGACACTTACCTTAGTAGAAGAGGATTTTAACTTGCCACGTTGTGAGCCATTAAATTTCCTTTTCTGCGGCTTATCGTTGCGAATAAAGAAAGAAGACATTATTCAACCTCACGATTACTATGCGGAAGTGAGAGAAATAGTTCAAGAGATGTACGCATGCGCAAGAGTTTCCGACAATTTTCTTTTCTTAAGATTGATTAATGAAGTTATACAGGCAAATTAATTGAAAAAGTTTTATGAATACTTAAAACAGTTTTCGTAAAATCTTATCTAAAAACGTGTATTTCTGTAGAAAATATATTTTCTTAATATAACTCGAATGAATATGACCATACGCTTTTTTGGTAAATTAAAATTTTTTAAAGGGGTTAAAAAATCTCTAGTGTAAGTAAAAGTTTAATGCTAAAAAGTACGTCGTTACTTTTTGTACCACCTTTTTTTTTTATGAAAATAGTGGATATTTTTCCACAAATATTTAGGAATTGATGTTACGAAAACCCTGACCTCAACCCGAGTTTGTTTTTATTCTTTTTTTTTAAATCACTTTTGCATAAATGCAGATACAAAATTCAAGTTCCAATTTAGAAGAATATTTCAATTTTAAATTAAAAATTCTTCGTCATAAAACCAGACACGAAAACCAAGCATTAGTTTGATAAGTGTAAAAAACACTGCCGAACTCCCACTTTTAGAGCTACTTTGCTCACTTTCATTTTAAAAAATCCAATTTCTCAAAAAATTAATCCAGTAACAAAAAATATCATTTTCATAACGATCAAGACCTGGAGAAAAAAAAAATTTTTTTTTTTTAATTTTTCTGAATCTTTACTACAAACTTTTATATCATGCTTTAATTTTTCTTAATTAGAAATAAAAACAAAAGTTGATTAAAAAAAAATTAACAGACTGACTGCAAAAACTATTCTACAACAATCTTATAATAACCAGATTCTTATTGCATCTGCAATTCAAAATATTGAAAAAATATCATTTTCCAGCCAATAAGAAAAACCAACTCCTCCAAGAAAAAACACTTAAATGACAGAACTGTTGCTAGTACAGAAATGGCACCATTCAAGCCAGTTTTCATTGACTTCTCTTGAGGTTAAAAGTATTTCTTTATCAGATGATCCACATATTTAAAAGGTTTGTAGTAGTAGGCAAAGTTTAATAAATAGGAGTAGATAGGTTTGCCCATCATCCAGTTTACACTCTTTCCCAGTCTTTTGAACAGGAGTAGATGTTTATCTCTAGTTTCCTGTTTAGGATTGAGTTTCCAGTTCCTTCTAAAGTCTTTTACTTCTCTTTCATTTCCAGTAGCCCCTTGAGTCTCAGTGGCATTATCACCTTGCTTGGGGTGAATTGATTAAAAAAAATATTTCTTAAATCACCTGAAAAACATTATCTACTTATTATCTCCTTAATGCCTCATTAACATCAGTATACTTAAGGACAGGTCAATCAGCTAACTTTGTTCCTGAAACCAGATACTTGGATAAGTGAAACAGTATAAAAATAAAGGGCAATTCTACTACACTCCTTGACTTTTTAGCAACCTCAGTATAAACCCAAAGAAAATAGGGCTTAGATGTCAGTCCTCTCTACCCTTTCAACAAAAAGCAGGACAAGCTGATTCACTCCACTAACCACCAAAGAACTAATCCAGACAACTGCCTACTACAAAGATGTAGAGGTCTTTGTTACATTATTGTTTAATGTATACTCTCTTTGCATTACAGTTTAATGTATGCTCCCTTATCAAAATTAAGAAACGTGATTCCCACTCCCTGATACATCTCTTTTCTCCCGAACCCCTTTCTTCTTCTCTTTCTTCCGGTACCTAATAAACGCTGGTCACGCTTCATAGTGGCTCTTTCAAACCTAGTCCTGTTTTCCATGACTTAATGTAACAGACTTGCTCTCAGTCTTTTTCTCTGTTCCAACATACTGCAAGCTAAACTATGTCTCACAAGAAGGATACCAGTTTGTATTTGTATACAGGAGAAAATAAACCTTCCAAAACAATGTTTGTTAAGCATTCATTCATTTTGATTTTTGAATGTAAAAACCAACATTCAACACCAACCTACACAAGTTAATGAAGAAATCCTAGCTGAGGAGAAAGTACATGGTTTTGTAACTGCAACATATTATAGCAATTGGTGCCATATATGATGAAGAAGACATCAGGCAATAAAAGTGACATTACTTCATTCCCTTCGCCCAAACCTATTATTTGTGAACCAGATGAATTAATTATACCATATTCAGATATTTTAGCACAAGAAAAGGTATCAACTAATAATGGATAAATGTATGGCATTTAAAGACTAACTTCTTAACTAAGTTCACAGTTGAGACATTAAACAAGACAATTTAAAAGACTATTCAAAAGCTTTAAAATGAACCAAAATTAATCCTCTAGCTTCAATAGTTTTTTGGTTACGCCAAATTAAAAACAACCATGTTTTGCAAAAGCCAAAAAAGTGGAAAACTTTATGACCTCGTTTTATAGTAGCCAAAGGTCTAACAACTCTAATATTTTGGAAAATTCATTTTGTTATGTATATCTGCTATTGTAACAAACCAAAACAAATTGAATGGTGGGGGGGACAAAAATGCCATTTTTTTAACTGAGTTAACATAAAAATTATAAATCATAAAAGGCTGTAACAGTTTTTCATTTCACCCAATTTCAAACTGATTACTTTTTTGTGAATTTGATTGTTTATGAGAATTAGCAAAACATTCACAGAAATTAGATTATTTATGTATGGATTGACACTTCTGCCTAAAATCCAAGTGACACCTCTTGTATAGATATAGGTAAATAGATACTTTGGTGTTAGCATATAAACTGTTATAGTTAATAGCAATATGGTATAGTAACATCTGAACACTATTTTATATTAGCAAATTTATGACCACAATCATCTGTTCACATTTCTATATAGATATTAAGAATTTTGCTTACTTCTGGACTCAATACTAATGAGAAAGATTTATTTTTGTTCAGTTTCTTTTTAGCTCTTCATGTTCTCTTTCCTTTATATTTTCTCCAATATCTGTACACAAGAGGTAAGTTGGTTAAAAAATGAAATATAGGCATAACTAATGGCCAAATTTTTATATTCCACCTTTTCTCTACAAGTGTACATAGAATGCAACTGTTTTAACCATATAAACTGCACTTCTCTGCTTAAATATCTATACTACTTGCATTTTGAATAAAATTATTTTGTAATCCCATTACCCTAACTTCTGGCCACCATGTGACATCACTGAATCTATTTTATATTACGATATGACAATTTAATATTTCACTCTGACAACATTATGTCATTGCCATAATGCACTACATAATGGAGACCCCACTCTTATATTTGTGGTAAGAAATTTGTGTAGTTAAATGCAGTACTAGTATTTAATAACAAGCACTTATTTTATACTGAAAACAATATCAAGTTGGTGGCTGCATACAAAGACATTAATTTTTATTTTTCTTATTACGCAAGATTGTCATTCATGAATGTTATGTAGCGGTTGCTATGTTTTTCCATGCCCACATTTTATTTGCCTGTGATTGGCTAATAAATCACTACTACTTTTATATAGGACAATATAGCCATCGCAGTCGTTTCTTTGAATCCTTCGGTTTTGAGCTTGCTTGCTTGTTCTGTTAGTATGAATGTAGTGATTGGTTAATTTTTAAACCAATCACATATTTTAATGCAAGATTAAGCCTACCCTTTTTCCTTAAAAGAGGCGACTTTTCACAAGTCATAAGTATGATCCCATAAAATTCCAGCCGTCAGCACAAATCCACAGTCTTACTCATTACATTTCAAATGCACACACAGAATTTCGTAATATAAACTTACATTTCTCTCTGTGACTTTACCAAGTTCAATCAACCAGAACTTTGTTGATTCAAACCATTCTATAACACAATACATTTTTAATTAATTGTATTCTTGTGTTATTTATTCTTAACATGCAAACTTTGCTCTAATATTGATTTCTGAACATTTTTCTCTCAAGAGAACTTTCTTCGAACAATTAATTACAAATCAATCAACAGTTAAAAGGGAACAACTTCTTTCCCTTAATCTATACATTGAACACAATTTTATTGCATGTTTGTTCTTGTATGTTATTTCAATATTTATTTGTTGATTAACAATTTAGAGTTATTGTTGTTTACTTGAATCCTGTACGTTGGAAATATCGTTGATATAAATAATATTGGTCTATCTACAATCCGTAGTTTTTACAATTGGTAACCCCGACATTCCCAAAATAAATCTTTCAACCAACAGACCTTTACAGTTATAACATTCCCATAGAACTGTTTTAAAATTGTCAAGATGGTAAATAGAATTTAAAAGAATTAATTATTATATCAATTATTATTATTATTGTTATTAATGATAATAATAATAACTAGAAATGCCCGTGAAAATTTAACAGTTTTCCTATTTGAATTTTCTGATTAATCTTAGGTTTAATGTAAGCTCATGGCAAGTTCTACAGCAATAAAATATCTGTAGAAATTCCCTTATCGCATTATTGATCATTTTTGAGCTTAACAACTTTAACAAAATATTGCAATAACAATCATAAATATGAATACTGGTCATTAATTTAAGAAGTAAGATGGTGCAAATGAAAAGATTTTAAATTAACAACTTTTCTAATTCACTTAGACATTAAACACTTCCAGATTCCCTTCTTTCTTTTTTTCTTTCTTTCATTTTCTCATTGAAACCAAATAGTGACTCTGATATGTCTTTTCCTTCTTTCCACTTGATCAAAACAGAATACTCCATTATCTATGGGGTATTGACAGTAGATATTAAACACTTTTATTATTTCTTCTTCCTTTTTTATTTTTCATTTTTTTACTCAAACCAAGTAACATCTCTAATACGTCTTTTCTGTCATTCCATGAAATCAAAATAGAATAGTGTATTATTTATGAGGTATTGGCAGGTCATGACAGTAAATAAGAGATGGATAAACAGAATTATAATAAGATAATTACTTATTTTAATAGATGATAAATAGAATTTAACAACAAACTACAAAGATGGTCTCTGAAATGAAAATCTGTATTTGCCAAAAATAGTTGTTAAGTTTTTAAAAAAAAATAAACCTTCCAATCATGAGTTCCAGGATCTATTATGACTGGCTTATGGAAAACATCTGTTTATAAAAAAATATTTTGAAAATAATCAAGACAAGAGCCATGTTGTTTAAAAAAAAGATAAAGGAACAAGTAAATAAAAGATATGATTTATTTATTTCATTTATGTTTCTCTTTGAGAATATTAAAGAGGGCATTTTTAAACTCATCATCCTTTTTTTCTTTCTCTTTCATTTCATTCCTTTGAATATATATCAGGGTAGCTAAGTGCTGGTTAGTCTCACGTACAAGTCCAAGAAGAGAATCTTGGAAATCTTTCATCCGTTTCTCCTGCTCAGCTGAATTTTGCTTCTGTTCTTTAATATACTGCTGAAACCACGATGGAATCTCTTCATTTTTCTTCACTGAACCTTCTAAAGCGATTATATTTGAAGAAACAGATTCAAAGGATACAGGACTGATAGAGTTGCCCTTATCATGACTTATGGATCGTTTCAAGGGGGACAACTCTTCTTCAATTACGTTTTTGTTGGAATGTCTATGTGACTGGTTGGTGTTAGTAATAGAAAGGTTGCCATTTTCATCATCATCTTTTGATGAAGTTACCACACTCGCTTGATCATCAGAAAATGATATGGAATTCTTTTCTGGTTCAGGGCTCAAATATGTTAGATCCACAGTATTTAAATCATGACTGCTACTTTGAATATTCTGATTCAAAGAATTAATGTTGGCATCATTAGATAATGACATTTTTGCATGATTACTGTTGAGCTTATTCTCATTTTGGTTAGCTACTATTTCTAAGCATAAAACATCCTGATCTGAGAAGATATTTTTCGTTCTGCTAGAATGTAAAACATCGGAACCAAATTTTGAATTAGTCTGAATCTCCAAATTTTCAAGATTTTCGTTTGGTTCCATTTTAAATGTAATGTTATCATGATTTGGAGGATTGTTAACATAGGTACTGTTCTCTTGTCCTGTTGCAGATTGTGCTGGTGGGAATGAAATAGTTTGAATAAGGTTGTTACACTCTTGCTTAATTTCTTGTTGTAGTTCAGAAGCTGTGATCACATCAACAGTAGTATTAAAATCTGCAGCAAGAGGCAACATTAGACTGGACACAGAATTATCTACATTTGTACCCAATTCAAATGAATCAGCTGCTATGGTGTGCATTTGGTCAGTATTCCAGTATGGTCGACCCATAGCTTTCAAATTGGAATCAAACACCTCAAAGTTATTTTTCTGTTCTCTTCCAATTATTGGATTATTTTCACAAATGTCTTTCAGTTCAAGATTTTGATCCTGATTCACTTGACCTACCCCATCATTTGGTATTGATGAAGACTTATGGTAAACATTCCGATACATATTTAGAGGGAAGCTGTTCTGATCCATTTGGGGTTCGCTTGTTAGGTTTGAATTAGTCAAACTATCTGTGTCTGCTTCAGTCGACCCAAAAATAGAAGTGAATGGAAACATAAGCTGCATATTAGTTTCATTAGTGAATTTCTGGAAAGCTTTGTAGATCATGTCCATTATATTGTATAAGGACCAGTATTGAGATGGATTTGGGGAAAAATTATTCCCAGTTTTCAAATGGGTGTACAATTTTTTCATCTCTTGCCACTTCAACTTGCAGGTGACTGATGAGATATTAGTGCCATGGATATTAACAGCTTTTGCAACTTCTGTCCATAGATCAAGCTCAGTTTGAATATGGAGGGGACGCCTGCCAAAAATCCTAGCAACTGCCTGCAACAGAATTTTGGTAGTTTCTTTTTGACCATGAGCCACTATTGCCTGTATAAAAAAAAAAAAGAAAATAAAAATAAAGAAAATAATAATAAAGATATATATATATATATATATATATATATATATATATATATATATATATATATATATATATATATATATATAAAGGTCTGTTTGTTTAATTTTTATTGTATATTTCCAATTTCTGAATAAATTGTTGTATGTTGGGATCAAAATTGTAGATAAACTGTCTGAAGTTCATGAAAAATACTTTTCATTAGTCTTCAACCAAACCTGTATAAATGAGAAATTTGCTACCCAAATATATATTTATAAATTTATCAGACTTTTTTACCCTAATGAGTGGTATTAAGCAAAACTTTAGAGTTAGTCAAAAGATCAATTGTTTGAGCATTTATTAATTAAGTATTTTCACCCAAGTTCTCTATTGAATACTTTCTTGATAAAAATTCTGCAAGCCTTGAAATACACTAAATTCCATTAGTAATTGTCATGTATTTTGGTAGGTGTTATTGATTTGTATTATTATTATTACTCTCTCTATATATATAAGTTAATATATACTTAGGTATGTATTAAATTTATAAACAAAATGCAAAAACTAGAATAATAAATATATTTAATGTATAAGAATTCAGACTAACCATCCAAATCAGATAAACTTGTAGGTTGCCAGGATGCAGAGCTGTCAGACTGTAGTGCCTATAATTAGAATAAATATACATGTATGAATTATTAGTGTTATACCCTGCTTGAAAATATTAGATCTCTTTCTGATACATGACAGCTAGATATGAACACTAAAAAAGCAAAAATAAAAATAAAAAAGTTGTCCTCTTTGCAGGTGTTCTGAGCATTACATTCAGCCCACAAAAAAAATATAAAACACAACATAAAAAACATTAATCATGAACATTGGCACTAAAGAAAAAAGAGGAGTCTGAGAGAAAGCTGCTCACAAACAACTGGGACACAGATCATGGTGAATGGGCCAGCTGTCAATACCTAGTTGTGATCTCAGTTAAATGACCCCACAAATGTACCAAGTCCAGGCCCTACTAACTCTACCCTTCACAACTAGACATTCTGCTCACATCCTCTACATCACCAATACAAAACATTCTATATTAACAATTCTTATTTTTCTTTTCCTTTTGCCTCACTGGTGATACATGTTGTTTCATTTATTCTTTTGGGCTACCATAACATTCTTTTGGGCTACCATACACTTGTTTATAACATTAGCAAATACTGTCTTACTATAATTGTGAATAAATTGGAGCCTCAGAGTAAAAAACACCTTAGCAATTTTTAACATTTTTTTTTCTTGTAATTCAGCTATTCATCATTATTCTTGCCTTCAAGCCATTCTTCAAAAATATTTTACACTACTTGTTATAAAATTGGGCCATCTTCATCTTTCTTGCTACTTTTGTGATTGTCATAGGGTCTCTTTCTACATCTGACATCTTTACTATGATTGTGCTTGTGAAACCTCTTTCTTCTTTGTTAGGATGGATTATTTTGAAATTTAATCAGAATTATCATTCAATTGACAAGATTTATATGAAAGCTTATAGTTGTATGCTGATCAAACCCCATCTTTGAATACATGCTGCTGCTAAGTTTCATATTGGATTTTCAGGCCTCAACAATACTGTGAGCCATTTGTAATCTGTAATTAGAACAAACTTTGATGCACTGTATAAATAATGACTCAAGACACCTTCTCAAGGTGGCTATAGTTTTTTTGCTGCAGTTGTTAGCTTCTGTGAGACATGAGAAATTGATATTTTAGCCTAATATTTGTGTCAACATTGGTTCCACTCTGAATGATGATGCATCACAGTTGACTTTGATTCAAAAGTTTACATTATAATGGATCAACATCCCAATAAGTATATTTTGTTTTTTTTTTAAAAGTCTCTTTCCAAAATTGTAGGTTTAGGATAATTTTCTTAACTTAGGAATGCACTCACTTACATTTTCATTCTTGTCTGTTTTCCATGTTAAAAATTTTTTTTTTCAACTTTAGCTGTCTTAGGAATTAATTGTTCTTTTTTATTTTCAAATCATTTGATAAGTATGTTTCATTGACTGTATAAAATCTTTCAATCAATTATGTTTTACTTGGGCCCAAATTTCTTAAAAAACATGCACATTTTTTGTCATCTGTGTCAATGGTTGAAGCTATGAATTAAAATTTAATCTTTTATATGAGTTCAATCCATTTTTATATTGTTCTGTTAGATTGGCATTTTAAATGAAATACCAAACTTCTCCTTTAATGTCACTTTAATAAGAGATATTTCCAGTAATTTAAGCTGCATAGAAATGTATAGAGGAGAATGAATATGTTCAGAACATTTTCCTGCTTCCAGAGAGAATCAAATTGAAAAGTTTCCTTTGAACTCTGTTCACTTCCAAATGTGATTAATGCACAACAAAAAACCTCCCATCTCCTTAGCAGGGCACAATTTTGACAGCCTGAGAAGTTTGTGTTATTTCAGCCAATCACACAAAAAAGTATGCAAATAAACACAAAGTTCAGCACTGATAATTTAAATGCATTTGTACCAGTTCAAATTCATAATGACAAAAGCAAGTATCCTGAATTTCCATAACAAAAAATATTACATATATTATTGTGGTGAAATGAAGGTTAAAATTCAGAACACTGGGTTAACTGTTATCTTCCCCATATATCCTCAAAAATGTGCCTCTTACTCTGTAACCCTCCAACTCGAGTGGCTCTTGGGCCTTGTACAAGATGAATATTATTCTAAAAAAAGTTTATTAGAAATCAGTTTTATTATTATACAGATTTTCACAGTAAAATTAATTTGCAAAATATTTAAACTATAAATATTAAATAAAATCAATTAATAAGTAAATTTATTTTAAAATGTTTGGCTACACAGATATTGTTGTCTTATAAAAGATTTGGTTAAAAAATCCATCTGCAGACAATTTTAATATAAATACAAGAACATCTGCTTTCTTACAATTTGGAGAGAAGAAGAAAAGAAAAATGAAAGAAAAGGAAGAAAAAAATAAACAAATGCTAATTGTCTTCTCCTACCACCTAAAAAAGGGAATCAAGTTTGTTTTGATTTGATGTTGGCTCTGTCTCTTTTCTGGATAATAAATGTATAAATATATTCAAGGAGTGTGAAATTTAATTTGTCTTTTCGTTTAATTCTTCAGGGTAAAGTCCACTAAGAATGAGAAGATAACAGGAGGATTTTTGTACATGGATTTTCCTGCAAGCCAAAACAAAAACATAAAGACAGAAGAAATTTTAAAGCAGCTGTATACCCATTGTGATGTGGGGTCTGGCAAGACACAACACTCAACAGAGTCAGTTGTGATTGTAGTATTCAATACTAAGCTAGACAAGTCACTGAAATAGTATTATCTTCTTCCCTAGACAATTCCCCAGGTCTGCTTATCATGAATGGATCAGTCCATTCATGATAATGAATGGATCAGTCCATTCATGATAGTAAGGCGGGGTAACTGGCTCATACCACAACATCTCCCCTTTTGAAACTTACTTCCTACAGAAGTTATACCTTTTTCTTTTTGGGTAAAGATCCAATATTTCTGTAGGCTGTCTCTTCCTTTTACTGGAGTATGTAGTTTTCCAGAGCTATCTGGGGCATAGGTACATCAAAAACTTCATACAGAACCACCATTGGCTCCTCATTTTGGATGCTCTGTTCATCCAAGTACCTTTTTCTCATTTGATTTTGATGTCTTTTATGCACCCATGTAAAACCTTTTATCATGTACAATAACTTTCCAATATGTCTCTCGACTACCCCATATTTCCAGCATTCATTTCCATTTTTGTAAGTTCAAAACACTACTTTTTCGTCAGGTTTCAAGCATCTCTGGGTATCAGATTTTTTCTTGTTTGCAACTTTTTTTTTTATTTGGCAGCATTTTGTCAAACACTAATCTAATTTTCCTTGTAAATATTAGTTATGCCAGGGACATACCTGATACAGTGTTAGGATTAGGTGTCACCTGATATAGATATAAAAACTGCTGTAATAACATATCCTTAGTTTCACATCCATTAATTTTCTTAATGCCCTTTTGAATGTATTGACAAAGCATTCTGCCTGTTAAAGAAGAGCTTTGATATGTTAAAGCACAAAAGTTTTACAAAAAATTTCAAACTCTTTAGCAGTGAATTGCATGGCATTGTCTGAAACAATGGCATCCAATGGCATCTGTATCTAGCAAATAATTCATGCAAGAAGTTTATTGTAATTGTAGAAATTGGACTCTTGCATTTTAAAATTCTGGCCACTTGAAAAAAATGCCGACAAAGAATAGGAGGTAGACGCTATTTATCGGTCCTGCAAAATTGATGTGCAGTCTCAACCACAGTGTGTCTGTCTTTGGCCAAGGGTGGAATTTAACAAGTGGTGATTTTGCTGCCATGGTACAATCTCTGCATGCTTTCACCAATCTCTCTATGTCTTTGTCCATATTGGGCCAGTAGACATAGCTGCACATGAGGGATTTCATTCCTAAGATACCCGAATGACCTGTATGAAATTCTTTTGATATCCTTTTTTGAAGAGATGCAAACATTACCACTCTTTCACCATACATTAAGATCTCATAACAGATTGAGAAAATATTGTCACTGTTAGTTTTTGATTTAATTTTATTTTTCTCCTTCAATTTCCACCTTACTTGCTTGCTTTCTTTCTCTAATAAAAGTATCCACATGAACTTATATTTTAATTTCATTTAGCATCACTGGTATATCACATACAGTATTGCAAAGAACATTCTTAATTTCATTCTCAGCTCTTAGCACTTTAATTACCATATCTTCTAGAGGTTCACATAATTTAGGTATGAATCTCAACTATCTGCATGACTTGGCATTTTTGATGGCAAGAATTCCATTTTAAAATTGTAATTCATCAGAATAGCCCCCATCCCTGTAGTCAATTTGCTGTATGTGTTTTTTTCAACCCAAAAATAGATAACAATGGATGGTGGTCTGTCTGTAGGGTGAACCTTGTACCATAGATGAATTTGTGAAATTTTTTCTCAACAAAAATTATTCCTAACACTTTTTTCTCTACCTGGCTATAATTCTTCTTAGCTGACAAAAGTGTTCTTGATGCATGTGCTATTACTTTTACAGAACTATCTTTATGCATATGCAAAATTACAGCACCAATATCATAGTTACTAGCATTGCTTGCCATGATTATTTCTAATTTTGGATTGAAATGCGAGAGAAACAAGTCTGATTTTAGAATCTTTTTAATTTTTTTGAATGTTTTTTTGGCATTCAGCTATCCAATTCCACTTGGAGTCTTTTTTAGCAAATTATTTAATGGTGCTCACAAAAAAAATGCATGTTCAGAATAAAAATATTATAATATTTTGCAAAACCTAAAAATGCTTGTAAAGATAACACATTTGTTGGAGAGGGCCATATTTAAAATTGCACTTTTACTCTGGTTGGGTCTGGTTTCTTACCATTTTCATCAATGATTTAGCCCCAAAATTTTTGTCATGAAAAATTTGTATTTCTCATCACTCAATTTAAACCTATATTTGTTTATTTTCTGAATACCTTATTTATGTGCTGAATATGCTGTTCTTGATTTTCACTTTTTATTAAAATGTCATCTAAGTAGGTGATCACAAAGTCTAGATCGCTTAACATTGTGTCCATTACTTGCCAAAAAATTCCAGGTGCTACCTTAATTCAGAAAGGTAATCTGTTAAACGTGTATAATCCCTTGAGGCAATTGATTGTTAAAAGTTTTGGACATTCTTCGTCAACCTGGATTTGCAAATATGCATCTGACATGTCCAACTTTGAAAAGTACTTTCTGCCAATTAACTTTGCAAAGATTTCTTCTGGGCTTGGCAGGGGGTAATTGTAAGCTTGTAGGCAATCATTCAGCCCTGTGGAGAAATCAGCACATACACGGATTTTGTTATTTTTCTTTTTCATGTAGACAGTCAAGGAGGCCCAATCACTATAATCCACTTTGAAGGTTATTGTCATATTTTTCAAGTGATCTAATTCTTTGTTTATTGTATGCAAAGCTGAAAAAGGCACATTCCTCTTTGGTCTAAAAATTGGTACCACATTTTCCTTTAACTGGAACTTGGCATTAGTTATTGTGTATCTTCATAACTCTTCAGAAAAAAACTTATGGAAATTGATTTTTCAATTCTTTTTTTTAGTCTTTCAGAATTACTAGAAGAGCCATCCACTTTGTTACAAAAAGAGTTTATGGGTAAATCCCATAAACTGAACAGTTGCAACCAATCTGTTCTGAACAAGTTATAAGTTCTTTCCATCATGAATGCTTTAGCCTTCACCATTTTCCTATAAAAGCATACATCTGATATGAATTCACCTTTAAATTCCTACCCAGTAATGCCCCATAGAAATCTTTTTTGGTAATGTTAATATTGGTTAACCAATTCTTTCCCACATTTCTTTGTTTATAATAGTCAAATCTGACCCTATGTCTAACTGAAATTTTACATTTCTTCTATTTATCTTTAAAGTTATAAATTTTCTTTTTTCACCCTTGTATGCATTGTCTGTCATTGAACCTGTTTACAGTACTCTTGAACTTTGACTTTTTATTCTTTTTCTTAACTTTACAATGCGAACTTGTGTTCCACATTTCCACAGTCAAAACATTTTTTGTTCTTAAAAGGGCAGTTCCTCTTGAAATGTAGTTTATTCTATCCATTACATGGATTTGGTTTTGTAAAGTATTTTGATTTCCTATATGCTTCAGGAAGAAACAAATTTATGTGAGATACATCTCTTTCCTCAATTCCAGCTATATCATGTTGTAAGTTCACTATTTGACACTCCTCTTCTACAGCTTGCAAGATCAAATTTGAGACTTGTCCAAGCTTGGTCAAAATTCTAGAATGGATTTCTGCTGTCAACCCTTGTACAAAGATCAAGCACTTAAACATGTCAGGTGTTAGTTAACTTTTAACATTTCACATTCCCTGTTTACGATACTAGCATAAGTGGTATAATCTTCATATTCTTTTTTGTACAAGATTTAAGCATTGCCAGTGTGTATTGAACAATGAACTTCATTCACTGAAAATTTTACTTAACAACATAATAGTTTCTTCAAATGACAATAGATTTGATTTTTCAGCAGGATGGAATTCACATATTTTTTATGTTCCATGGGCCTTACCTTTCTTAGTAACAGGTACACTTTTTTCTTGTCTGACCAACTTATACAGTCTTTTTTAAAGATTTCTTTATAGCATCTGTAGTATGCTGCAAATTTAACCTCCTCATCAGGATTATATTTAAATTCACTAATTGCATTTACTACTGAGTCCTGTGAGAAAAAAAGTAGACGCATTACTTTCGCTCTTCATAAAAAGTTCTAGCTTTTTTTGCTGTTGTTCTTGTTCTCTCAACAACATTTACTGGAATTGTTGTTGCTGTCCTTGCTGTTCTTTTATTAATTTCAACATTACTGCTTTCAAGTCCTCCATTTTTAATTGTTTCACTTGAAAATTTGCTTCCAATGTATATTTCAGATGTTTTAATGTTCTGTTGTTTCTGGCATAAGTTGTTTTTTTTTTCAATGTACTGATTTCATAAGTTGAAAAAAATGAATCTTTGTCAACCACTATTATAATAAATAGTGCATCGTCCTCATTGCCAACTGCTGCAATGTGGGGTCTTGCAAGACACAACACTTAACTCAACAGTGTCAGTTGTGATAGTAGTTTTCAGTACTCAGCTAGACAAGTCACTGTAATCGTATTATCTTCTTTTCTAGAAAATTACCCAGGAATACTTATCATGAATGGATCAGCCCATTCATGATAGTAAGGTGGATAACTGGCTCATACCACAATACCTTAGACTGAAAGCAAAGATAGTGGGGAAAAACAGATGATTTGTCAACAAGAGAAATCTTCTTCCCAGGTTTGAAAAAGCAGATGATATTCAGCCAGATTCCAATTTTTCCCTCAAACAAAACAGAAAAGATTTTCAGAAAGTGACAAACTGTTTGTTTAAAAGAAAACACATTCAGTTCATTAAGTACTGAAATTAAGAATGTCAAGAAATTAGATTTCCCCATCGACATTTCAGCTCTTCTAAGAGCCAAAGTTATGTGATAATTCTGGTATGATATATGCCAAATCTTTGAAAGAGAAATTGAAAGGTATGTAAAATCCTATTTTTTGTAAAGTCTAGGAATTGGCCTATCAGTGCCTAAGGTCCTATTAGTAACAATTTTATATGTGTGCTGAATTTTTGTGGGTGTAAGAATTCAAATTATTTTCATTTATTTTGAAAGAACATTCTTAAACAAAAGAAAAGCTTTTAATGTAAATATTTAATTTGTAAATTTGTATAGCAGCGTTAATGGTCTTAGGAAATAACAATAACAAATTTGTAAAATTAATTTAATTTAATTTTAATCTAGATCTTGATCTAGATTTTATATTAGTTTAATATGATATTAAGATTGTGTAAAAAATATGTACTGACCTATTGATTGTGAATTTTAAAATAAAATTTTTTCTTCAAATCATAACAAGCATCGAGCCATTTCTTCCTTTTTTTCTCCTTTACTTTTCAATTGACTTATTTTCTTCATTATTACCACCATGTGGGGATAATAATTTTTTGAAAAATCCTTTGAAACTAGATTTAATTTTCTATAGGTGATTTCTATCTTCTTTTTCAATAGTCATCTGTGACAAATCTATCAGCCAATTACTTGTACAACTATTTTTAATTCACTTACATTTGATAATCAATAAGAAATTGATACATCACAAAAATTATCCTTTAAATAAGTTGCAATATTTTGCAGATAAGCACAACTATTCACATTCATCAATACAAAAATTAAACCAATTAAGCACTTACAATAATTTTCTTTGTATGTGTTGGCTGATTTTCACAGACTTTACAATCAGATACCTGTGATATAACAAAAAAAGAAAATGTTTAAAATTTCACTTCAACATTAATATTTTTTAAAATAATACATAACATGTTTTTCTATTTTACATAATTATTTGTTTATTTATTTTGTAATCATTTCACCCCAAGAAAGACAAAGCCACTAAGACACAAGGGGTTACTACTATTATCACAATCTCTTTCTGATTCACAAATGTAATCATTAACCTCTATATTTGTTTTTTGTATGAATGATTCATGTAATTATAAATTGAACTGCACCTATAATCGAAATTAAAATAACTGATCCAACGTGCAACTTTCGGATAATAATTGTGACATTCCTGTAATTATTGAACAATATAGTTCATGCCACATTGATGGAAAACCTACCAGTATAAAGAATTCTCCTATTACTATATTTGTACAAAAACGCACAACCTTAAAATTTAAAATTCAAACTCAGCATTGCGACCGCATGTTCCAAAACAATAACACATTTCTCATAGCATTTTTCCGGATTACATCTATATTTTCGTTGTCCTCTTATTACCATGAAGTAAAAACAAGAACAAAACTATTTCCATACCTGAGGATGTCTGTAGGAACAGACGAAAGCTTGTAAAAATTAAAAAGACCTTAAGCAACTGGAATTTATAAACAGGGATCATATCATTCATATACAGGTTCGGGGTTAGTGTACCTTATTGAAATTGTTTGCGAAGATGTATTCTCGCCATTTAAATCATTAGCCTCTATATTTGTTTTTTGTATGAATGATTCATGTTATATATATATATATATATATATATATATATATATATATTTAATTTATTTGTTTAAATATTATTTTTAATGAATAGTCATATTTGAGTAGATGCTCTGTTTCAAAGATGCTCCTGATCAAACAAAGCCTGAAGAGTGCTTTTGAACATTTAAACATATAAATTTAAAAAAATATGTTAGATTTAATACATTTCTTAAAAAAATGTCTTCATTTACGTTAGGATACAAAACAGAGCAGATATGAATATTTCAAGAATCGAGAAAAATATATGTTCAAAAGTACTATTCGAGCTTTATTTGATTAGGATATCCTACATGGCCAAAAGGTCAAGCGAACCCCACCCCCAACCCCTGATCTAATGACAGTTTTCCCTAGGGGGCGCAGGTTCAAATCCTGTCAGAAGGTGCATTTTTTCTAACAAGATTTTTCTAATATTCAAACCAGTAGATGTAAATAAATAAATATACTGTTTAATAATAAAAACTGAGCAGCTACTCAAATATGATTATCTATTAAAAATAACATTTAAACAAATAAATTATATATATATATATATATATATATATATATATATATATATATATGTGTGTGTGTGTGTAATTTAACTTTGTGATGTAATGACCTGTCACCCCCATCAGTGGCTACAGTATAGGTAGTAACTACCTATAAGTATCAGTAAGTCAACGGACTACAGAGACTAGCTGGGATCTGTTGAGTACAACTCAGACTTACACAAGAACTACCGACCTTCCAATAGTAGCACTCACTACTGGATTGACTTGTGACAACCTTGTGCATAACTGTTAGCTTTATTCTTATTGTATTGGTTTTTACAATAAACCTTTACTTATTTTATCCACTTTGTTTGTCAAGTATATATTCCTATTAGAACAGAATATAACAAATCAGACGCTTCCTCTGTAGCTAAATAGTATAGCACACTAGGCTATATGATGGTTCCATGTAGGATACAGGTTCGATTCCTGTCAAAGGATACATATTTTCTATGAAATTTCTTGAACATTCAGGACAATAAATGCTGTTAAAACTGTTTATTATAAACAGATCATTTACATAAATATTTGTATCTATAAAAATAACATATAAACAAAATATATATATATATATATATATATATATAATTATTATTTAAAAATATGTATTCATCATGACACAGATATCCAAATATTTTTGGCATTTAAAAGAAACAAATAAAACACCAACAGTAAAATGGAAATTGTTAAAAAATATGAGAACTTGTAGATCTTTAAATGACCCATGTCCTTTGTGCCTACATGAAAAGTTATATATTATTAAGCTTCTGAAAAATAAAGATTTATTAGTCAAAGAAAAGAAATAATGTTTTTTTGTAAATATTGCATTATGTTTACTTTAAAACATAATTATAAAAAATTTTCATAATTATATATCTATTATTTGATCATAAATAAGAAAGAAAATACATAATTAAATTCTAATATTTTAATTTTAACAATACCATATCTAGTATACTAATAAATATAATAAATATTGTATTTTAGATCTCTATAAATAAAAATATATATATAAAATATGACTTAATCATATTTGAAAGCCCCTTTAAGAAAATCCCAATGTATTTTATAAAATGAAAAAATATAAATAAATAAAAATGCCAATGTATTATAGTGTATCTTATGCATGCCTCTAAATAAAAAAAAATGAAAAAACAGACATTGATGAAACATTCTCATATAAGGAAGCCAGTATCAACAGACAGAAATTACAAACCCACACCCAACCCATAACCTATTTTTACTTTGCCATCTTAAATTATATTTGTATCCTTATTTGTCAAAAAAGCCAACACCCTCTTAAAATTTTGAAACTTAAACTATGTAATACTATTTAGCTTAAAAAAAGTAAATCATTTTTTTAGAAAGTTATTCAACATTGCTTCAGAATGGAACAAAAACTTTAATTTTAAGTTTAATTTAAGGTTTAGGTTTTGGTTCCAAAACATGTCAATTTCTATGCTGTGATGAATACATATTTTTAAATAATAATATTATGCTCTACTGTGTATTGAGCACTGGTTTTAAAAATAAATGCTAAAGAACTGTTTATTATAAATCTAACTGTTCTTTCTTTTTATTTTGAGATATATATATATATATATATATATATATATCCTTCAGAGTCTGTCTGTATTTCCGAGATGAGGTATTATGTACATTATTTACATTATTCGAACTATTGTCCTCATCTTTGTCGTCATATTTATCACAACGTTTCAGCCGTTGTACGCTCCAGCCTTCTTCAGGTGGTTGGAATGTCGAACTGAACCCTTTATTTCACTCACTGGGGTAGACTGTTCTAGTTCCACATGCCATGTTTGATGGATGTCAGCTATCAGTTATCTCCTGTTAATTTTCCCTCTGAAAGTTCTCCACCAATGCCTTTATCCACTGTGCCATGTGTCCTGACACATGGCACAGTGGATAAAGGCGTTGGTTAGATCCAGTGACAAGACCCAAAGAGTGTGAGTTCAATACCCGGTTAAGGCAGTGGAGAACTTTCAAAGGGAAATTAACAGGAGATAACTGATAGCTGACATCCATCAAACATGGCACATGGAACTAGAACAGTCTACCCCAGTGAGCGAAATAAATGGTTCAGTTTGACATTCTAACCACCTGAAGAAGGCCGGAACGTACAACGTCCAAAAAGTTGTGATAAATATGGCGACAATGATGAGGAAAATAGTCCGAATAATGTAAATAATATATATATATATATATATATATATATATATATACACACACAAGTATAATGACAGTATAAAATACTTACCCATTTTCTTACATCTTCTCTCATTGTTGGCCAGTAATACTGAACAGATATTTGGGCTAAAGTTTGTGCATGTTTCAGGTGGACACCACTGGACAATATATGAAACATCTTAAAAATTTTTATTTGGTGTGGCAATTTGTCAAGAACAATTTTTGGCTCATCTGCTTTTTCTGATGAAAAATCTGCAGAAGACAACAGATATTCAAGGGAAATAACTCATACGAAAATTTAACCACTGGAAATTACAAAACCTAACCACTAAATTTAAGGTTGGCATGTTTTTTTTTTAACCATTATAAAGAAAGAAAATTATAACTATAGTAAAGAGAAAAATCCTTCCTCCAAAACAGAAATTCTTAATAAATCATCTAAAGAAGAGTTAAGAATATAATTGTATAAACATTTCATTAACAAGAAAATATAATTTTGTTAATATTCTGTGTTTATTCACTAAAATACTATCTTGTTTATTGCTTCATTTCAGTGTTTACTATCAGGATGTTATGTTTCATTATATATATCCTGATAGTAAACAACAAAATAAAGTCATTTTTTTCTCTAACAAACAAAATACTTCTGGTAGAAATTTAACTTTTATTATTTTTAGTCAGACTAATGTCCTCATCATTGTTTTTATTATCAAAACATTTCAGCAATTGTGCTCTTCAGCTATCTCCAGATATCTGCTGATCCAAGTAATAAATATCATACATCTGTGATTTTTACAAGTGCCATACGAGACTAACATCTCTAAAAGTAGGGACCTCAACAAAAAACACAATACCTACGGTTTAAAATGAATTTTTAAAAATGAAATATCTTTCTTAAAGCTTTTATTTTAATTTTAATTTCAAGCTAATAAATTAAATTTAATATTTCCAATAAGCAAAATACATTGTTGTATTTCAAAAACTAAATTAAATTCACTGAAAAAAATTTTTTTCTTTGCTAAAATAACTGGTTAGTGTCCTTTTTTAGTCATCTTTCATTGCAATGTAATTCTCTTAGTTAAAAATCTTAAAAAATAAAATATACTTTTCTGAAATTTTATTTGAGGAATATTAGCTAACTTAAAGTATAATTAATTTGATTTAGAACAAATATTATTTACTTTAAGTTTAAAATATTGCAGAAATGCATTTTTTAACACAACAGTAGCTGTGTTTTTAACCTGATAGCAACTGTGTTAACATGTTAATAGCCTGATAACAGATCTAACATTGTTCTGCAGAGACTTTATCTGTAAAACATAATTTAAGAAAATGAGATGGGCGCATTTTTTACATAATTTTTAAGTACTCGGTAATCTTACAATATTTTCAGTAATCTAATGGTTTATTGAATTTTAGAAATGTTGGCTCTAAATTTACTACAGTTATCACTCTTATTTTCAGATAATGTTGTATATGGTTGACTGTACTTACAAAAATCAATAAATTTATACAAATACAAGAAAATTTAAAATATTGGTGCTTGATGATTCATATTAAGCTCATAATTAGTAAATATATTTTTGACTTAATATTAATATCATCTAAAAGGCTGAAATTAATACAGAATTTTAAAAGATTTAAAACTTAATAAATTTTTCTAATTAAAATTTTTAAAAAATGAAAACAATTCTAGGAAAAATTCATTAGTCATCAAAAAATATTTTTCCTTAAGACAATAGTGTCTTTAATATATCTTATTTATAAAAGCAATTACAAGCTTTTCTAATTAAATAATATCATAGTTTTATTTCATTTTTTATTTTACTATTCAGAGCAAATTTTCAGCAAATGGTGTTTCTGTTTGACAAAAACTAATTGATGATATAAATTCTCCAAGATATTTGTGAATAAGTCCTGAAAATTTAATTAAAATCTGACAATTATTTGATTTTTGCAAGAATTTCCAAAACAATACATTTTTAACAAAAAAAAAAAGATGCTAAAATTTCCAATCTTTGGGCCACCCACTGACACAAGAAAAACAAGATTTTAACCAAAATTTTGAATGTGCTCAAAAGGATTAAAAAATTTAATAAAATAATCAAAAAATACTTTTGTCTTTCATCTTAATAATAACATAAACATTTTTACAATAAAACTTTATTTTTATCAAGTTTGGGACCAGTTTGTATGCTCTTTTTTAGAAATTTTTTGGAGGTACCTATGTCTACCACACCACTCTACTATCTACTGCATTTGGTATTCTGTGTTTAACTCATTTTCATTACAAGTTAATCATTGGTGCATCCATTAAAGTGAAGACCCTGAGTCAGCATGCAACAAATGCTTTAAAATGTTTAATATCTTTTAAAACTGATTGAACGGCTTTTGAGAAATTAGTCAAAACATTTCTGGTGGTAGAAGAAAAAAAAAGGCAACAAATTTTGCACTTTTTTACTTTATATTTATTTTAGCAAATTTCAACAGAATATTGTGCATTGAAAGTCAAGGAAAAATGGAATTGTCACTGGTAAATAATTAAAGCAAGTGTTACTGACAGAAGAAGGTTATTATATATATAATATAGGTTATCTACAGGCATATTTTGTTGTTTTCCTTTTCTACATTTGAAAGTTTTCTAATGAAAAAGGTATGTTGATGAAATCAATAAATTTGGTAAAGATTGGATCCAGATATGATGTTCACAATTAAGTGTTGTATGGAGCAAATTTTTATAATAAAAGAAACCTAAGGAAAAAAGTGATTGTTTTGTTTAGGTCACCCTGACCCAATGAAAATTTAACAAAGATCAAAATCTCACAAACAATGCTTCAACTTCCTTGTAAAGTTCTGAGCAGGAGTATTTTCATTATTCCATTATATTTTCAGACTATTATCTCATCAGGCAAGACTGCAAGAATTCAGTATATACTTATCAATAAATCAACCATCTCTCTGACTCTTTTTGCAGAGAATAATATAAAAAAGTTACAATGCCAGAGCTGGAGTTCTTCAAAAGTAATGAATCCATTTATAGGAGGTACATCATCATCATCATTATAATCATCTTCTAGGAGCAAAATATGTCAGCAACATTCTGGACAATCACTCTCCAGTGAGATCATCCATAGCTGCTGAAATCTATTGTGTTATCTGCACCCAATGCCTAACCATTTTTTGTACAGTTTAAGGTAGCTAAGTTTGAATTCAGAGTCATCCTTTTCCTAGACAGGTTGCCAACCACAGCTAGAGAGCACTGTCTGCCCTGCTATTTAACTCATAGCCAGTAGGAAAAGAGATTCATATCTTTTTCCCCCAGGTATTTTGGGGAAAAGTGAATGTAACAAAATTTGCCAAAATTCAAATTCTGCTTACCAATTTTTTCATTGTAAGCTACTAAGCATTACATCACCTGTACATTACATAAAAGGCTATAATCACTAAAATTAGATTTATTTTCTGATCAGTTTCTATATAGTGTGATGACAATGAACAGAATGCCAAACTAAATAAACAACATCATACTCTTATTCTCCAAAGTCAAAATAACATCAATGACCTACCATTATTTGGAAGATTAGCCAGCTGGGGTCCTCTTACTCCAGAGGTGTTTCTTTCTGATATCTGTTTCTTATGTCGATCAGTTTTCAACATCTTCATTGGTGAACTTTTTACCATGCTGATAGCCAACTAAAAAAAATAGTGCAAAAATGTGGACAAGATTACTATTATGAATTAATGGAGTTAACAACCCTTAATTAAACACTCACTTTTGACAATGTACTAACTTTAGACCATGGTATAGATGGTTGTCTGTAGAGAAGATACATAGTAGCAGCAGTATATGATAAGCACCTTTAATAAACTATATTTACAAAATTGAAATTCTCTCTTCTCCTTTTTGTTACATAAGGTCAGAGATCTAATGGGAAGTATTCATATCCAGCTGATCAGTAACTAGTACTTTTCTTTCTTCAGAAATGTAAACTACATAAACCAGGCTCCAGTGTTAACAAAAGGTGTAACTTTTCCACATCCAGACTTTTTATCACCTTATGAAATAAATATTTCATGAAATTTCAGCCTGTTGTGTTTTTGCTTTTGTTCTGTATTGTTTTGTTGAAAATATGTCTGGTAGCATAATTACTTCCTCAATATATACCATTTCAGCAATAATATAATTTGGAAAATTAAGGTTGTAACTTTTAAGTATTTTAATCAATAGGCTGGCACACTGAATCAGGCTTCCAGTTGTGAGTCTTTGGATTGATTGAATAAAAAAAAATTAATTAGCTTGAATAATAGAGGCATACAAGAGAAGACTAAAGTACAGGTAAAAAAAAGGAAAAGACTGTAGGAATTTTCTCTCTTCATAATGGTAAATAAAGGAATGGTAAACTTATAGAAGAACATCAGCTTTTGAGTCTGCCACAGTCAGAGTTCAATGTTCTTTTATAATAGACACTAAAAATATTTTTCTTTTTTACTTTCTTCTGTTTATTACCTATTGAGGGACAAGGTGCTTTCATTCTCTCTCTCTCTACCTTAAAAAATATTACTAAACTTACAGGATCTCGTTACCAACTCAACTGTTACACATTTAACATGAGGTCTTTCTATTTCCTGGCTCACTCCCTTTTTTCATTAAGTTCATAAGATCCTATTTGTGAATCTCTAAACTTTGTCTACTTTCCTTCTACATGTCAGAAGGCATGCAGAATGAAAGTCATTGTGGACTTACAAATAGGATCTCATTATCTATGATAAAAAAAGATCCTATCCCACCTAAAATAATGATACTAAAAATACTGAGAAAATAAAACATTGAAATTATTCATAGTAAAAAAATATCTGAGATGATGATTTATTTTGAGAATCTTCCTCTTTTTGACCCATTTCAATCAGTCAACTTTCCAACCTTCTTCAGGTAAATGTCTTATCTGAGAAATAGTTATAATGAATATATATAAATATACATATAGATAGGTATAGATATACAAACACATACATCAGATTTTGCTGATTTAACAAGTAAAGCAATATCAAAGAAAAAACTCTTCTTTCACTCCAGCCTGTCTTAATATAGTAAAAACGATAAAAGACATTTGTGGATTATAGAAATAGTTCCAAATTCCTGCCAAATAGCAAACTCATATTTTTAACCATTTATATCTTTATTTATGCCTGCTTTTATAATATTTCTGTTGGCTCATTCTCTCACCAGCTTCTGGATCAGTGTAGTTTTGTTGTTGAATTTGTTTTGCTTATAGACCAGTCTATCATATTGTAATTGTTTTTGTTTTTAGAATACTAATTCAATCAGGTATTTTATTGTGGTAAAAACATACTTTTGCCAACATTATGCATTCCTATTATGACTCCATGTCTAATAACATAAAGTCTCTCTGGAGAGGATGGTAATTAGTTTTTCTTAAGCTTTCTCTTAAAACAGCATTGCCTTATGGGATATCTGATATGGTGATTGTGATTTACATCTCCCTTAGAGTTATTCTCCTCTGACAAAGTTCAATTTTTTTTCTAGTATGCAATTGGTATTAATCTCTTTTCCTTTTCTTTTTTAATTATTTCACTGCAAACAAGGAAATAAAATCACTAAAACACAAGGGGATACTGAGTATGAAATAATATGATAAAAAAAAAAGAATATTAAGGAGAGAGAACAATAAAAGAACATGAATTCAGAAGATAAAAACTGACACTGTATTTAAATTTCTGAAGATTAAAATTGACAAAGGAAAACACCAGAAGAGTGTTCCACAAGCAAGAAGTGTGAGAGAAATTGTTAGCATAGAACTTATGGTTACATCTAGAAATATCAACTGTAAAATGATGAGACCTAGCTGCCAATTTAGTACTGCACTAAAATTTGTGAAGTTGAAGTGCCAAAGAGAAAAGCTCATCAAAACAATATGGCAATAGGAAAGTGACTGAAGTCAAGATGCCATGTCGGGACCCATAAAACTGCAGATGCTTCTTTGGATTTTATCAAGAATCTTTAAATACATAGCAGAAGTACCAGACCAGATGTGACAACAATATTCAAAAATCATGGACGAATGGTTGACTTATAAATGTATAAAATAGATTCTCTCAAGAAAAATTGTCTAGCGAAAAACAGTGAACCGCCAACTTTCCTAGCAGCAGATCTAGCAATAGATTCAATATAACCTATATATTTCATGTCAGAGGAAAACATTAGCCTACATTCTCCTACAGCCATGCTAATAGAAGGCAAAAAAGTTTCCCTAAGATGGTTAAAAGAGAGCAGTTTCATTTTGGAGGCATTAAAATTAACAAGCCAATTCTTGCCCCAATTAACAACAAATTGTACATCATTTTTTAGATCAGCTGCCAATTTGACCATATCAAACTGATCAGACTTACCATTAAGACATAAGTAAATAGTTTTGTCACCAACATATAGTTGAGAACTGATGACACTAGGAAAGTCATTGATGAAAATTATCAACAATATATATCCAAGAATAAAGCAAAAAGATGTAGAAATGTAGCTATTCAAGATAACTTTCATTTTACAATTTGACAAGAATGATTGAATCAGGTCAAAAATTGATCCAGGAATATCATAACCATTGAACTTGTGAAGAATACCAACATCTCAAACAGGCTTTGAGCAACAGACCAAGCTTCAGTATTATTATCTAAAGCTTGACAGACTCTTTCAGCAATAACTTTTAACACATCATCACTTGACCTAGAGAAGCAAAAGACATATTGTTTGTCTGAAAGAAAACCCTACAAGATGAGATGCTTAACAAATTCAGAGCACTTTTCTAAAAGAGGTTGATAATTAGAGGGATCAAACGATTCACCCGAGTTTTTAAAGACAAGAACCACAGAAGAGGTTTTGCAAGAAGCAGCAAGACTACATTAAGAGTGCTAAATTGCATTAGCAAATTACAATGTCATAGACCAGAAACTAATTTACTTACAAGGCAATATTAATAACAAAGGGGTGCTGAAAAGTTCTCTGGCTAATAAGGGAGTGATCTAGAGTTATGAAACATATGTGCTCTTCTATATATTCTCTCCACAGTTCAATACAATGTTACTCAAGTTTCTTTTACTCTGCCAAAATAAATTCTGATGTTTGCTCAGTGAAACAACTTCTCTGCTGATGTTGCTGTTATCACTTCTAAATCATTAAAAAATGTCCTCCCTTTCAAATTCCTTTTTAAACAGAAAATAGACAGTGAAGCAAGATCCAGCTACAGTGACAAAATAACGGTCAGATTTTTTTGAAGAAGGTTGGACCAAGAACTTTCCAGTAGCTCCTCATAGACAAATTCATTAGAAGAAGCTCATACCTATTGAAATAATAAAAACAACATTGTATATATACTCATTTTAACAACATTGTATATATATACTCATCTTAAAACTGTCATAATTTTATTTACTAATTTTATAAGCTTGTTTTATTATTCTTTAACTATATTCACCAACATGAAGTCAAACTGACAGGAAACAAAACAAAACATTGACATTGATAACTTGATTAATTTCTCAAATAATTATAACTGTAGTTACTAAAAAATAAAATATTTATAATATATTTTGGTAAGGAATGACTCAAATTTTAACCAAGGTCTCAATGATGACTTTATAAAAAATAATATTCTGTTAACAAGGGTAGATACAACTAGCAGTTGGGTAATCTATAATAGAGATTTTTTATATCATGCAATTTGTTACTGATACAAAAATTACAATCGTACCTTCAAATATTGCTCTTCATCATTCAGAAAAAGTTCACCGAATTTTAGAAATCATTCACTTTCTTCAATTTTTTTTTTTTTTTTTTTGCGAGCTAAATGCATTGATTTCTCATAAAAATTGTTAGTCACCTTTAATCGATTTCGAGCCACTTGGGATCTCACTCTCTGTTGCTCTAAATAGCGTCTGTATTTCTCAGGGTCTTTTTCCTTCAACTGGCGCCGCCATAATGTGCTCCTGTTTACCTGTTAATTTTAGAAAATAGAAGAATTTTATATTTTATAAATATTTCTTGTATGATATATTGATGGATATTATAATATTAAGTAAACATTTTAAGAAAAAATTAATAATGAAAAAATCTTAATGCTGTTCATATTCTTCACTAAATATTCTTCATATTATGAATATTATAAGATGATAAATGTCAACCATGTCCTTGTCTTACCACAAAGAATAAGTCTTCTTTTTCTTCCATTTTTAGATAATCAGAAGTTACTATTGCAATTAGCACCACATATTGGCAGTTAGACCTCACATATCATATATCAATTTAACAGCTGGAACAGACTGTAGGGGACCGTATGTTGGAGTTACCATTATGTAGGAGAATCGTGGCTGTGATGTTGTGTAGAAATAGATGAATACATGTGGGTAGAAATTTCCTGCTAGCCGGTCCAACTACATGAGAAAGATGGACTTTAATAAAGTCCAAAGAAGGCAAAGAAAAACAAACGCAAGACCGATAAATATATGTAAACAAATATATGTATTAATAACAACAAGAAAGGTACAAGTTACATGGACAGTTACATTGACAGAGTGTGTGTGGTAAATATTATGCGTGTGTGTGTGTTGTGTTGTGATGAGTGTTCGTACGTACGTGTATTGTGCTTAGCGTGTTCCCAGCATTTGGGAAACGCTGTCTCTGTGAGCATTCACATCTGTGAGGTGGTAAGGCTGAAAGCCTGAGGAAAAAAAGGAGGAGGCGAAGGGTCAGCGACTATTTATAGCCAGGGAAGAGAGACTCCTGGTGAAAGGGTTAACAAACAAAAGGAGGAGTTAACTCCGACAAGACATTTGTTATTTTTAAAAACTTAATAACTTTTTTTTTTTTTTTTCAAATTTAAAGCATTAATTAAAAAGAGGGAGATAATCAAACAACACAGGTTAATTTGTAATTGTTTATATTTTAACTGAAACAATTTCATGGTACAGTCAGCGCTGGTGCATACTACCTCACGAGTGAGAGGTGCACACCTAATTGGGGGTGTTATAACAAGCATTTGGGTGCAAAGGAAAAGAACAAACAAGGATTAAATTTTCAACAGCATGTATTTGTCAAAATTTGGAATATATACATAGTTGTTGGAAATTTGGCAAAAATTATTCATGTGTGATTCTTCAGTTGCTGTAGGTCAGGAAAGTGATTAGGTGTAAGGGTGTCGGTAGGGCCAGGAATTAACTAATTTCTTGGGTTGGTTGGCTGAGGTCAGAGTTGGTGCCAGAGGATAGGTCTGGAGAGGATTAGCCATTGGTGGGGTTTCACATATTCTGTTCTTCATGGTTGAAATCGACACCTGCAAGGTATTTGATGGGCTGACAATTGTGCGATGCCAAGATGTTGAAGTCAAACTACCTGGTAAGTTGAGTTTATTTTTATTTCTTGATTAGCTTCGAAAACAAAGTTAGTTTTGGGGGGTTGGCTAATAATGTGAGAGAGTTTACTAAAAAAAAGATCATGGTCACAATCATGGTAAGGTGCATTGGTTGCCAAGGTTACAGCAGTGGCAACAAGGAATTAGGTGTAGATAGTGAACTTTGATAATCAAGATAAATTCAATTATTACATTAAAAAGTAATAAAGTTATCCTTAAAACATAAAAGTAAGATGGAATTTTTATATGACCTGATATATGCAAGTTGCAGTGTAATGATTATCAATGCAAAAATGGAAATGGGAAACTGAGTTCAAATTCCAGCCTAGTCTACTGCATTAATTTTTGCATTAACACCCTTTCCTAAGGCATGGATTCTTCTCTTCTCTCCCCAAATGGGTTAAATAATAGGGTAGACAGGGTTCTCTAGCCCTGAATGGCAGATGGCAGACTGTCTATGAGAAGGACAATTCTGAATTCAAAACTGTAGTGTGAAGGTAATGAGAAAACTTCTTTTTTTTTTTTAATTTTGTATGGAATCGAACTTTTTTCTTCCACGGAGGTGACTAAGTCATATAAAAAAATACCTTCTTAATGTGGCTGATAAAAATCAAATTAAAAAAAAATTAGTTGTATATTTTCTTTTTACAAGGCTAAGCTTCATTCAAACGGTTTTGTATCCTTGAAATTATTAATCATGAAGATGAGCCCTCAAGTTTAAAAAATATATTTATATTGAATGAAAGACATCTGATTAAAAATCATGGCAATGTTAAGACAAACTACTACTACTACTACTAAACATGGCCTGAGTTTTTGGAAGGTTTTTTTTATTTATTTTTTATTTTTAGTAAAGAAAAATTTTAAAATGTATTTATTTTCTTCTAATGCAATGTTTGCACTTACTTTTTTATTGAAATTACTTTATTTTTATTTTATTTTCTGCCTTTTTTCACCCACCTCCTATTTCATTCAAAATGTCTATTCTTTTCTATTTGGAAATAGATCAATCTAGCTAGAATCGTTTCTCTCACTCTCAATAAAATTCCTAACACATGTGTTAGAATGAGCGAGAATAGAGAATAAATTCATTTAGGTTGTTGTCATTATTGTTGTTATTATTATTATTATTAAAATAGTAGTAGTAGTAGCAATAATACCAACCCAACAACATCACCACCAGACCATGCGGACAAAGCTCGACAGTCGACACTTAAACTGCAACGAACGTCAAGCGATTTTGTTTTCTTTAAACTTACCCTTTAGTCACATCACGCATAAAAATTGCTTTCATAACTTTTCCAAATCGAATCTTTAATTATTTAATTGTTTTTGTTAATTTACTTTTGGATTCGTACTTTTTTATTTAAAGTTTAGCATAAAAAATGACTCGAGTGTAAAACTAACAATTAATTAGGACCTTTATAGCATTTATTTACAAAAATAATACAGCTTAAATGTATTTTATTTTATTTTTATTTCTTGATTAGCTTCGAAAACAAAGTTAGTTTTGGGGGGTTGGCTAATAATGTGAGAGAGTTTACTAAAAAAAAGTGAATAAAAAATAAAAATGATATCAAAAGTTCTTTTGCTCATTTTTTAAGTTCACAAAACAAAAAGTTTTTAAAAATTCAGGCAATTTCCTTAAAACTTAGAAAAGAATTATAACTAAGAAGTTCAACTTCAAAATAATGAAAATATTTTTATAAGCCATCGATCTTTTTTCTACTGATTTTTTACACGTAAACGTTAGTTTTAAGTGTGTACTGTGTAGTATACGTTTGTGGTAATCACAAAAACTAAAAACTGGCATAAAATCTTGTTTTTAAAAGAAAATTTGTTATTGAATATGGTTAGGGACTGTGTAAAGATTAAAAATTGATGCGAATTTCTTCATTCCATAACAACTCTAACTCACAACACGATGTATTCAATGCTGTCATGTGTGGAATGAATATAAACAAGCTGGTCTTCTCTTTAATTAATTTGAGCATAATTACTTTTTTTTTGTTTTTCCTTATTGATAAAAAATAAATTACAAATGAAAATGTAAATTGATGAAAATTGAAAACATAAAGTTCAACGATATTTAAAGAAAAAAGAATTGCTTTTTCTTTTAAAAAAAAAAATAGCAACAACAATAGAATCGAAAACGAGTCATGAAATGGTTGATTTCCTTGTTTGTATCTGATAATTATTTTAAAAAATAATAAAAAGAGTAAATAAAAGAAGAATATTGCTAAATAACAATATACTGTTACTAGTGAGGGGAAAACAGCACTTACCCGTAACTTTTGAATTAGATTCGGCATTTGTTGTTGATAACGGTCGGCCATGTTTGTTGTTGCTATTTCTTCTTCAAGCTCGCTCGTTTATTCTGGTTAGTGTTGATTTTTTTATCCTCTTCTGAACGACTCTTGCCTGCTGCTAGCATAGAAGTATCAACCCCAACTCTTGCTGCTAACGCACATGAATGCTAATAATTGTGCTTTGACAATAAGTTATCATTAACGTTGCTAACAACCGACAACGACAAAATAATTCTGAATCTTAATTTTAGCAGCGGTTAGTCAAACTTTCTAAAATGAAACCCAAAATAGAAGCATATTTTTGTTTTCAACCTCACCCACAACATTTATTATATGCAGCATAGAAGACAGGGTCTTAAGAATGTCTTGCAACAGTTTGATCAGGTCAATGTTTCTAGCTTCCAGGTAGGTAGTGCAGATTTTATAAAGAAAATCCTGATCATCTAAGGGAAAATTAAATATTGATAACTGATTATGACGAAAATTAGGTTTTAATTATTATTGTTATTAATAATAATAATAATAAGACTACTTGAAGGGATCCCTGGAAGCTCATGCTTTACAGAAATACAAAAAATTGTTCTCATGAGGACAGCCCACATCTTATGAAGGGGTTTGTCTATGTAAGATATGTTTTGTTTTTTTTTCCAGTGGAAAATGTCATGACGCCATTTCTAACCTTAGGTCCCTGGGCAGGACCAGGAAAGAAATAATTACACATCAGAAATCAAAGGAAATAAAATAATAATAATTTCATGATATGTAATAATATAGCATACAATATAACAATAATATTTATATATAGTTAATATAACATATAATAAGATATATGTCAGTATTACAGTGCACCACATGCCAAAAATAGTATGGATATCACACATAACATAACATAACAGTTATAGAAAGCTATCTACTCACTATTCTTTGGGGTTTTACCATTTATACTGACAAACATATAAATGCTAATATGTTAGACATTGTAATTAAAGACTAAAAAAAATGCCTTCTCATAGATTTTTTAATCATTTCACCCCAAGCAAGGTAATAAAGTAAAAGAATGTGAGAAAAATCATTATTAATAAGAGAGTACAGTAAAAAGACAGGATTCAAGGAGAGAGATGATGACAATTGACAGTGCATTTAAATTTCTGGTGATTAAAGTTGACTGGAAAGCAAGATATGGCAGTGCCATCAGATAAGAATATATTATATTAAAGAGTATGACAAATAGATTGAAAAATGTGGCAGCTTAAAAGTTCTATTTTACCTGTAATAATTGGAACCCCGTGTGCAATCAAAAATGATACAGATAAAAAACATTAACAAAATCCTTGGAAACTTCTGTTTGGAAAAATGCAGTGTTGAACTGTTCATCTACTCAGGAGAATATTATCAATTCAAAGGAAATATAAATAATGTCCATATTAAGTATCAGTTAACATCAGAACTTGTGCAAACAATGCATAAATCTATAAAAACAGAATGCATATATTTACTACCTTGTCTACCAGAGTAGACAGGTTCAATTTTTATTTATATTTTTTAGAAGAAAATTTATTTTTTTAAAAATGTTTCAAATTTTCAATTACTCATCAAAAGTCATTATTTACCATGATTTAATATAATATAACTCTAAGGAAAGGCCTTTTGCCAATTTCTGACATCAAACTACTGTGTTTTTTCAAGTATAAGGCAACATTCATAAATATTTTATTTCCATGTATAATTCAGTTATCACTTTACTACAAATGAAGTTATTATCAATCATTTTTTTCAATTTATTCAATGCATAATTTTATCATTGAAGATAGGGTATGCATTCAGCTATTTACACATCTATTTAGCAGTATATATTTGGATATGATTGGCAACTTAAGAGGGGTAAAGATTAGGGTTTCTATAAAACAAAAACAAAAAAAAGAAGGTATTCCGCCAACTACATATGTGAGGCTGAACTTTTCAAGACCTCCTGATCAGATGATGTTCAGTTGATGTTCATGTACCAAGTACTTTCTTTTCAACACCTCCTGATCAGATGATGTTCAGTTGATGTTCATGTACCAGGTACTTTCTTTTCAACACCTCCTGATCAGATGATGTTCAGTTGATGTTCATGTACCAGGTACTTTCTTGTTACAAATAAAAAAAATACCCAAATATTATATTTATGTATAATGCAGTCCCTGCCTAATTTTGATTCTGAAATTTCTCACCTTGTATGTAAATACAATTTTTACAATTTTGTCAAATAAGTAAACAGTTATCTGAAATAAAATATCAGACCCTTTTGCAGTTTGCCCACTTTTCTATCACTGTCTAAACATTAAAACTTGACATAAGTATATATATATATATATATATATATATATATATATATATATATATATATAAATGCCAATGGCTAGTTACTTGTTTTCTGAGCACATATATCTGCTATGGTAGATGCCTGCACAGACACATGTGTATTTATTCAATATCCACAGAACCCACCTTTTGTTTATAATAAACTTTGTTGAGTGAAAAAGCTACAGTTTATTGAAAAGAGCACATAACCTGGCATGATCAACAGTTTGAACAATGTCAGTATATTCAGACCCTTGGTTGTGATAACATGTGACTTTGTGCTAGCACAACCATCAAAGGGTTTGAAATAGTTTCATCTACCCAATTTAACTGACAAATTTTGCATCAAACCATAGTATTGTTTTCAGGCACTTTTCAAAAGTGGGATCACATTCCAAGACTAATAACATCAAGCCATTTTGCTGGCAAAGTGACCATAGTGAGATTTAAAAAGTCAGAAAGTAAACATTCTAACCATTCAGCCACACACACACACACACACATATATATATATATTTTAATTGATGATGACATCGTGCTAATGTCAAAAGTACTCAGAATAAATAATATGTATCAACACGGTAATTTTTAATACTGACAAAGATGCTTGTCCGTGAATATGAAAGGATCCAATTAAAAATAAGTAAGCAAAATTAGTCTAAATTATTCAATGAAACATGTCTCAATGAAAACTTGTTGCTAAAATATAAACAATATATATATATATATATATATATATATATATATATATATATATATATATATATATAACAGAGAAATATGTTATTTAAAAGAACACTGCAATATCCACTGTTAAAAAGAATATGTGTTCGTTTACCTGGCGGCCGATCGACAGCAACATTGTAAAAATACCAAAAAAAAAAAAAAGAAGAGGAGAAATTACCATGTGTCTTATGTAGACACGGAGATTCTTGAACCCCTCCCCTCCTTAGCTATAAAAGTCGCTACCTGTCGGCAATGGCGGGAACGAGTGTTGTGCGTACTAGAGGAGGATGGCGAATCTACCCAATGGGTATTGCTTCTGTCGGCGTATAGACTTTTTGTAAACTTTACGTTTAACTCTGTCTACTTGGCGATAAGCCGCAACAACGGTCTTTGTTGCAACTCTAAACTACCAGCTGCATTCAGTCGCTATCGTTGGTCGAACGCGGGTAACCAACTGTTACCAATGGTTGCGTGAAAACGAAACATTTTGCAACAAAGACATCCTAAACTATGCCAGAAGAGGCGAAAATTATCGAAAAGTTGTTGCGGCAACAAACCAGATTTAAATGAAAGATTTGCTGGGAGAGAGAGGGATTGAAAACTTTGAGCGACCTGACGAAGGATGTCTTCATGGAACACATGGACACTATTAAAATGTGATTATGCCGCTTAGACAAGTTAGAAGGAGAGATATCTAATGTTTGTCTCGAAACTACAGGAAGCTGGGAGGAAACAAGATCGGGGACTCAATCAGAGTTCGAGTTTAGGACGTCCGTAGACCAGGATCTATCACTCATGGCTGGACGGTTTGAGGATGATTCTGCAGTCAGAAACTCGCCGGAGGCTTCGAATCCCAACTCTTATGTCTCGACCACCCTCCTGAAACCTTTGATGAAGGAACCCTCCTTTAGTGGTAGAGCTACGGAGGATAAAATTTGCCTTCCAGAATTTCTTGGTACATTTTAAGAATTACGTAGCCTGTATAGGATCTAAGGCAGCCATATTCCAGTACCTTAAGAGCTGTTAAACAGATTATGCGCATCTCATCATTCAACATCTGTCAATCTGTGACCAGAATTATTACTTACTCAACGAGAAATTTTTGGATGAGGGGTTCATAGTGGATGAGACATTGAAACAGATTTTTGAGTATAAGCTGTCACGTGACTCGAGATTCGAAGGTGTTAAAATGTTCTTGAATAGAATAAAAGCCAGCCTATGGGAATTAAGGAACAATTTTTCGCTGGATTTTCTAGAGGAAGATATTGCTGAGTACATATTGATGAGTCACATTGTATCTTCAAAACTACCTGGAGAATTGCAAAGATAACTTATGAAGCAATATAATTCCAATTATCCTACATTAAACAACATTCTGCGGAGTTATAACAACATTATTAAAACTCTGGTGAAACTAAGGGTTGAGCATGTTCGTTCAGGCCCTTAAAGAACTGGTAATTCCATGCCTTTAAAACCCAGATGAAAAAAAAAACTTCTTCCGCTTTGAAGAACTTTTTCACCTGTGTAAGGAGGGAATCTGTTAAGCATTGTAAATTTTATGTGGCAGATGAACACTGGAAGGATGATTGCTTGAGATGTTTCTCACCTGGATAGAGTGGAACGGCGCTATGCGCTTAAATTATGCCCCCATCTGTGGAAGCGAGAAGCATTCTGCTGTTATCTAGGCAAGAGGGGAAGATTTCTTTGGCCCTGTAGATACTGTTCTTCTCGTAGTCACCACAGTGTGTTGTGTCCGGGTGTTGTACCTAAAATACTTGTTGTTAACACTTGTATTAATACACGTCTGACGGATCAGCCTTATATTTTGCCTATTTACAGTGTTTTACTGAAAAGAGGAAAAAGATGGTGTAAGTGGACTCTGGGATCTAGAGGTCATATTTTTCTAGTGATATTTTGGAATCTCTTAAATGTGA